AATGCTTCAAGGCGTCACCTGCTTGCATTGCCGAGATACCGGGCGCTCATATTATAAGGCAAGGTTATAAAACCATCTTTTAAGATCATTTTAGTGAAAGTTTCATCCTTCAAGGTGTACCATTCACTGCTCAAATACTAAACAACCTGCTTCCATTGCCGAGATACAGGGCGCTCATATTATACGGTAAGGTTATAAAACCACCTTTTTAGATCATTTTAGTGAAAGTTTCATGTTCCTATCTCATAGAATTTAAGAACAATGATGAATAAATCATTTTCGAGCAAAATTTAAATGGCCGGCTGAATATATTACCGCCGGAGACGCGGCCGCGGAATTTAAACGACCGCGCCAAAGGGTTAAAGATGCATCAGTTGTCAGTTGCTCAGCAGTGAGCAAGATGACAAATAGGAACATCTGATGGGATTACTCTGGTTTGCATTTTAGCACTCCAGTAACTTCTTAAAATCAACTGGAAAGAAATCAAGCTTTGAGCAGAGAGATGATTAAGTTACTCATGATATCAGTTTAAATACCGAACTGTCTATAATGATTAATGCATAAAACACATCCACATCTTCAATATTATCAATGACAAACTCTGTACATACAAAACTATTAAACATATGTTCATTCCTGTAAAGAGTTTTCTGTCATAAGGATTTGAATCCTGAATATGCATCTAAAATGGAGGAAAGCAGAAGGTAATAGTTGACTGCTTCCATACATTCACAGACATATTTGGACATCATGTAAAGACTATATGAAGTACTGCTTTGCAAAACTGTTTATGATCCTCATGTGAGTGTTAACATCTTTCTGATCACTCTGTATATGGAGTATAGCTACTGTTCACGCTGTGTTAGCCAGAATACGTATTTAGATTGAGCACTGTTTATATCAATACACATTCTAGGGACAATACTATATACAATTAATAAGGCAGAAATGTGTTTCACAATTGTTTCTCTTATCTCCTTATGGGCGTGCACAATGTAGAAATCAATATTAAGACGTTATCAATTTATTTTTTTCAAGAGGAAATTTAAGGTATGAAATCTGTCAGATTATAACAGCAGCTAGGTTACACATCAATTCTCCATTACAGAAAAGAAAAAAACATTTCCATTCCATTGAAAAGTATCCAAAAATTCGTGAGCAGGACTGACATATACCATTTTAAAACGCATATGTGCCACACTTTTTATACCAAAGTTTCAGTCTGAAAATAGAAAGAGTTTATCTGGCAATATTAATTTTGTGGATTAATGTTAAATATTTTTGTCATAAGTTCTGAAAGGTTATTCCTTACTTCTGATTTATAAGATCTATATTTTTATTACATTACTGAAACATATTAGAGGTATCATCTATATGTATTCATTCTTGTTCTTGCTGAAAATATGTGACATTGCCCTTTCTCAGCACACGTGTGAACGTGGTCCATTAGTCTGTATTCAATCTATCAGCGACAAAGCCACAGGAATTTAGAGACCCAATGTATGATAGTTTGATGAAAATATGATGAAATGTTAAAAAAAAAAATTATACAGGGTGATTCACGAAGTTTTACCCCGGCTTATGGTACATATTCCTGGGGTTATTTCCTGCAAAATTTCCTTACGAACTTGTGGTTGATTCAATAGTTACGGAGTAACAATGGATTTTCGAAACGCATCATTGTGAATGCAGTGCTATTTGTTTCAAATTACCTCACGAATGCCCTCCCTAAGTGGGGGTAAAACTTCGTGAATCATCCTGTAAACAGCTTCTAAAAACACATAACTATAAACAAAACATATGATCAAATCACAGACACAGGAACTTAAAAAACATACAGAAAATGAACTTAAAATATAAGATCCCAATGGCTAACGGTACACTCATCCACCCTACACAAAATTTCACAGTACATCCACAATTTATGATTTTTAAACACCTGTTCTTACCATGGAGCAAAGAATTTTGTAAAAGAAATTCCCACAGAAATACCATGTTCAAAGTTGTCACCCGTGTAAGAAACAACTGGGCTTATAGGTTCTGGCTCTGTTGTCCCTTCTGCAGACACAGAATCACTTGAGCCCAGTTTTTGTATCACAAAAGCCTTCAGATCTTCATCTGTCCTCTGACCTTGATACTTCTCCACCTAAAGAGACACAACAGACTACAGTTCATCTCCCTTTTCTAACATGTAACTGATAACACACGATGTTTCCAAAATAAGCACCCTTTCTAACTGGGTGCAGATGAGAACAGTTTGACCTAAAAGACATGAAGTGACAACGGGCTAGAGAAAACTACATAAATTTGGGTTTCGTAATATCTACTGTTCCCTCAGTGGCATACTTACAACAAAATGTTTGTTACTCTTACCTGTCTAAACCAACGGTTTCACCACATGTCTTCCTACACTTACATTTATGTTCTCACCTGACAGTACATGACAACATCAGTGAGGCACAAATGTATCAGTCAGAAAATCTAAGTGCTAGACTAAGAATCCAGGAAATAGTCATGAATGCAGAATAGTTTGTTCTTTTGGGATTCCTTACAACACTAATAAAATGAACACAAAACTTTGAAAAACATAAAATAGATGATCACAAGATCGCTTCACTGTGCTGTTGTAAGTGCGTACATGGCAGCAACTTGGGTAGGTGCATTATCCCTACTGCTGCTACGATATTTGACCAAAGTTGAACAAGCATCCATTACTGCATGGTGTGGCATTCGACTTTAGTCCACATCAAGTAGTAATCTTCTCCTCTCTCAGAGCCATTTCATTTCATTCAATGGGCTACGAAAATGCATTTTCCTGTTTTTTTTTTAAATCTTTATGTTAAAACTGCATTATTTTAGGGAAACTGAGAGAACATAAATACAGCAAAAGGATTAATGGCTCCATTTCTCAACATGTTAACAATGGAGGGACAAAAAATTAAAAATATTGGCACATAAAAAAGTCATTACATTTTTGTTTATCAAATTCTTACAACATTCTACATATGCATATGTTCAACGAGTTCACAGATTTTGAGAGCTGTTACACTGGCATGGCAAAATGACAAAACCTTGCAATATAAAAAATGACTATAGGGACTAAGAGACTCAGTGTGACTGGTGCCTACATCCATCAATAATCGTGCTTTGTTGAAGTATTGTATTACAAACTGAACTCAAGGAGACTGCACTTACTTTCTTTCCATCTTCAATCCACAGCAAAGTAGGGTAACCTTTTATGTCAAAGCTATTACAAATTGATCTATGCACTGTACAATCCACCTTGGCAATTGTAACTGTAGTATCATGTTCCAGAGCTTTGGCAAGAGCATCCCAGGTAGGAGCAAGTTTCTGAGGGAAAGAGAACATGTTCAAGTGTCTGCAAGATTCAGCATAACCTTGAACTGTATATTTATATAACTACAATATGATTTTCATTAAACAAAAAATAAAATCAATGCTCAAGAATCATATCTTCTGAGGTGTAACACTATATACTCTGGAAGAAATTGATGTTTCAGAGGAATGTACTGTCTCCACCTTCACAGTGGATGAGTAAAAACATGTAAGAAACCAGAAGGAAGCAGGTAGCTCTGTTTGTTGCCTGTTTTTTTTTGGCTTATTCTTTAACCCTGAAGATGGATGCAATACATCCTTCTGAAATGTCAGTGAACTTCCAATAGTGGTGTCTTACCCCAGAAGGTATGACTCTTCACAGTCAGGACTGTAAGAATTTCCAAATTCAACAGAAATAATAGCTAGGAAAACATATAGTTTATTAATTTACTTTATTTAACAGCGTATCAAGTGTTAAAGATATCGCAATTCCTAAAATGTATAGGACTGAGAACCAATGTCCTTAAATCAGGAAAAAAGTAAAGAAAAATACCAGAATAATAATTTACAGCACCTGTAATTCTAAATGATAATGAAAGCTAGAAAATGAAGGTGAAATATAAATTAAAGAATTCAACTATTAAAATTAAATTCATCAAGCAGACTGTAAAATACAAACAGAAAGACTACGAAAGGAGCTAGAACAGAAAAAAAAATGGAATTTCAGACTAGAGAAACAAATGGATTTCCCATGTTGCCAGAATATAGAAAGACAGTCTCTCTGTATTAATATGACATGCAAATCCAGTGGAATAACAAACCAAAGGTAATCCACACAGTGACTGCTGGTCAACCATGGCCAGAAAGGCTCCCAAGTGATCAAGATTAGTCTTTTGGGCTGACAATTAAACCTGTAATCTCATGAATACAAAGCAGGAATTCTAACTATTACAACGAAACATTAAGCAGCATATACACAGAAGAAGGGGGCAAACTATGAAAGACCTTGGACAGGTTACCCATGTCTTGGCTGAAATTTAAAACAGGGACTGCCTGAATGCTATAAAACAAAAATATTCAGCAGCATGTACAGAGAGATGGGGGAAAAACATAAAAACTTTTGCTCTTGATACAAGTCTTCCATTCAAGGTTCATACTAGGATCTCCTAAATAAGTAGGAGCGATAACCAATCTATCGCACCTGCCTCAAGGAAGTGAATGAAGAAAAACACTATCCGAAGCTTCTGGCCAAGATTTGCACTGAGGACTTTCTGAATATGAAGCAGATGTCTATATCAGCAGAAATTTCAATTCTGCACAACTGCCAGAAACAAAACAAAATACTTATAAAAATAATAATAATAAAAACACATAATGATTAACTTCAGCTGTGTATGGCAAAGTGCAACGGAAGGAAATTTCAATGGAAACCAGAAACCAGAATGCATACGAATACAGCATACAATTAACAGGTGTTTAGGGGTTCCATTTCAGGTCCACTGATGGTGCTTGAGGTGGGTGGGTATTGTAGAGCTCACAAATTTTTATTTTGTTTCTCATTTGTTATCTGCTTTGATAATGGACCCAAGAGATTCTGAGTGCTTAAGAGGCAACTAGAAGTTGTTTCCTATTTCAAAACTCTATCCTCCTTACTTTGGTTCAATGATTTTGATCTTGACTTCTCTGTCTTAGTTTTAGGTATTCATATGCTTTCCCACGATTTTTATTGGAAACTTATCTCCTGATGACAAAACACAATCCCATGCACATGTATAGATGCATACTGGCTTAGGCAATCCAGTAAATGAAATTAGTTCTATCTGCTGGACCCAACTGTGTGTCACCCTCCCACCACCCTTTCACCTCACTACGGAAACAGATTCAGCTTCTGAAATGTAGTAGTTTAGAATTTCATATGATGGACAAAGTACAGCAAATCTGTAATCCCAAATGTAGTACACCACTATCAGAACCCTCTCACAAAGGAAATTACAAATGATCTACTAACATCCATGACAACATTACTGCCATCTGTGAGCTAACAGTCTAGAGAAAATGTGGGAGCCTTGATGTCTCATAATCCTATGGGCCTTCATGGTCTGTTACAGCTTTACCTTTTAGCTTTTACTAACATCCATGCTCCAGTATCTACTGTGAGAAGTTCAAATATTTTAAAAATTTATCCACATTAGGTCAAAAGACTATCTATGTTAATATGTAAAATCAAATTTTATTAAACATACATTTACATAAGTAGACTAATGAATTCTGACGGTAGGAATCTCAATTCAATTCTCAAGAAAAAGAGACATTCGTAATCTTTGTGAGTATTAAAAAAAACATTTCTGATTGTCTAAAACCTTCATGTGTTCAGACCACTGTTCTATGTCGAATGTACAGGTTCAAAAATGTACATGTAACACAGAAATTTTCATTTTATTTTACTGAAAACCATGACTTTACATTGTAGGTCTTCATTAAAGTGTCAATGACTTCTGACAAGTTCTAACCAAACCAGAATGTGTTGACGAGTTTTAGTAAAACTCCCCAATGCCAAATTTCTTGAAAATTTATTGAACTATTTTGTAATTGCTACATGCATACACAGAAGAACAGAATGGTTTTAATCAGCACTTAGCAGGATATGAACATGACTAAAAATAAGGTAAAAAGGAGGACAATAAATCTGTATCAAAAATTTGATGTGAATCTAATACTTCACAGTATTGCTGCTCCAGTCTTGAATACATAAACTACACTGTATCAACTACATAAGTTACATAATGAAACAACAGAATAATCACACACAGTGAATTGGAAAGTATTGGTGAGAAAGTAGTGATTTATTTCAGAGTACTACCCTGACGTCCACTTGGAAGGTCTAACAAACAAAACGTAAATGTCAGTGATGTCCCACATGAGATCTGAATTCAGTTCTTCCTAAACATTAATAACATCTTCCAAAACATGACAATTTTAAACACAAAATGAATTTACACAGGCAATCAGTTAACTGTATACAGACCTCTCTTACAAACATACAGAGAATATTGAGTATAGTATACTTTCATTTATCCAAATAATACAAAATTCCGATAATTTAAAATTACTTTGTTTTGTTTTCAATTCATATACATGTTGCATCACAAGCTACTCACACTAGTGTGTCACCAAGAGGCAGGAAGCAAGGGGGGAAATGTTCAGTCTTTCACCCTGTACCTCGATATATGCCCCTAAAAAAGGTTGTAAAATGTGAAAGACACCATAAAACAATCTAGCAGAATCACATACAAGTAATATGAAGGAGATGAAAGTTTGGTTTACATGTGCTTGGGCATATAACAAGTACAAAATTTTATAATAACTCTTGATAAATTAAAGAGTAAATTGAAAAATTAAAAAGAAAAATGGAGAATGGGTAATTTGCAACCCTATTATCTGCACACAAATAATAAAGGCTATATGCTGCACTTTAAATTCTGATAAATGAACATTACCTGACAATGACCACACCAAGGAGCATAAAACTTCACAAAATGTTTTCCACTTTCAACATGCTTGGTAAATGTTTCCTCAGTCAGTTCCACCAAACCATTTACTGGTTCAGGAACATTAAATTCACTTTCTGTTTCCTGTAACAAAATATCTGTTAAACCGACACAGCCTTACATTAATTTCCTTCATAGTACAAACTTATATCAATTTTGAATAAACAAGAAATTCCAGACAAATACTAGAAAACATATACCTATAAATGCAATGACCAACTTACTCCATCATGACAGTCTTCCTTGGAAGTTTTCTGATCACCCTGCTTTTATAGAAACCAAAAATTTCCAAAATAGTTTCCATATAGCAACCACTGGGCCCTATTCTGAGCCAATTCAAGGAACCACACATCTTCAAACTCTATCTTTCTATCACATATCTGAACATTATCCTCGCATTTATGCCTAGAACTCCCCAGTTGTCTCTCAAAGTACTCGTGCTCTATTGCTTTTCAGATATCCTGAGGTGTATTTAAAAATATAGTTGCAAAACTTGCTTCTCTGATGTATGGCCAAAGAGTGTAGGTAATATCATAAACCTGTATCCAGGTCTATATTACAGTTTCTATTTCACTGGTCACTGAATTTATTATTATTAAAAACAAAAAGGGCATTCAAAATATTTCCAGCCTTTTCTGGAACTCAGAGATTCATCATCAACATTCACACAAGCCTGAATCAAGTCATTCCAACCACTGAGTAGTAATACTCCAGACTTAAAGTCAGGAGCTGCTTAGTTTGAATCTCAACAAGGACACTGGCTATTCTGACTGAGATTTTTAGTGGTTTTCCTCAGTCCCTCAAGGCAAATGAAAAGAGAGTACCATGATCAGGCCATAACTGATTCCTTAAAAATCGTTTTCAATTTATCATTCTTCAATTGTCATACCATATAACACTAAAAAAAATAAATAAATAAAAGTAAAGCTATCCCTGTAACAGGCCGTGAAGGCCCATAGGGTTGTGAGATGTTGAGGGTCCCACATTATCTAGACAATCGGCTCAAAGATGGCGGTAAGGTTGTCAGCCTTACGCGCCGCCCACACTTTACTCCCCAGGAAAATTATTTAATTAATTCCTGGTACTAATTTGTTAGAGGCTGATTCGACTCCAGGGCCATGGAAGGATTAGGTCAATTGAAAAAATCCAATTACCTCATTGGGACTTGAACCCACTACCTTCCAGCTTGTAGCATAGTGCCTCAACCAATTAAGCTACCGCGTGTCCCCTACATAACACTATACACTATATAGTCTAGATGTTGACAATGGGATAAAAAAGGGATCAACATTCTCATATGCTATATATTAAGATCCACTTTAATATTATCCTCCCACTCACAGCTATGTGCCTCAATTGGTCTCTTTCTTTGAGGTTTTCTGATTAAAATCCTGTATCCATTTATCATACATGCAGCATGCCTTGCCCATCTCACCTTTGATTGATCACCCTAGTAATATTTGGCAAAGAGTATAGATTATGAAGCTCCTTGTTATACAATTTTCTTCAGCCTCCTGTTACTTCCTCTCAGGTCCAAACATTCCCCCTTAGCACTTTAAAACAAACTGGATAAAATAAAAGAGTCCGATAAACGCAAAAAATTAGCCAAGATTTTACAGCAAGGAGTTCTGGAAAGAACTTAAGACTTCAAATTCTGCTAACCACACAGACAAGCTAATAGGAATTTTAAAGAAACTACTGTACTATTCAGGGAATTACATGCATAATTTCTACCATCATGAATGAAAGCAGATGTCATAAATTCTATCCAGAATTCTTGTACATTGTTAACACGAATCTTCAAAATTTAATTTAAATCGACAAAAAAGAGGTCACTCTCAAAATCTTAACTCATTCACTGCTCAGCATTTAAATTCCAGTTTAAATCTGTGAGAGAAGCAGCCATGGCTAAACAGATTAATTTGAGTGTTTTCTGACTGGAAACACAAACTGTACTATTGAATGTATGTAAAATTTCAATAAACATTTCAATTCCTCAATCATGCACCATTATTTGTGGTTTTATTGCAACTGTATGAAACCTTTTGGTGAAAAGATTAAATGCTTTGACTTGTTAAGATGCTGCAAGTTTTCTCTGGTGCTGAGAGACCACATTCAACTTGAATAATTGTTCCTGTCACTAGCAGCCAATGTATTAAAACATTGCTAAACAGATCGGTCTTCATGCAATCTATCTTTTGCGATATAATGCTGTGTACTACAGCGAAAGTTAATCAACGTTTGTTTGTTGTCTACTTCATGCTTTCTTACTTGGCTTCCTCTGTGACCCTAAAGTTAGAGGTGATACATTCCTCTGAAATGTCAATTGACTTTCACAAGACTATGCAACATTACATCCCAGGAGCCAAAACTCTTCACAGCCATGACTGCGAGAACCACATATCCAATATATCATTCTTCACTTTTACCTGGTGAATATTTCCAATATGTTCATTAATAAATGCAGTCAGCGAAGCCAAATCACGTGTCCCACGAAACTTGACTGCTTCTGCCTCACCAGTTTTAAAGAACTTCAGTCTAAAAGTTAAAACAAATTTTTTTTCAGACACTGACAATAGCTACACCTTACAATATAACTATGAAGAAAAAGTCCTTTTACTCGTACTTGTTAATTTTACAACACTATGTCAACAGCTGATATTATGTAGCACTGAATGAGATATTGTAGAGTGAATGATCTGTGAAGGGATCTATGGTAAGGGATGTGAGACAAAGCAGTCATAACCTATAGTAAGCAATTTTCCACAGTTTGCCTATATGAACTAAAGAAAAGCAATTGACGCTCAGTGAGGATAGCAAATCCTTGCTGGGGTTCAGACCAGGTACCCAAATACGAATAAAACATGTCACAATTGATCAGTTCAGTACCTAACATTGCCATAAATTTAACAAAAGAGCAAAATGTACAATTTTCTCAATCAGCAGTATGAATGACAAATTCCTGTTCTAGTGTAAAGCTCCCAGATTATTGTTGTAACTGCCTCAGTGATAGAAGATGAAATGGGAGGCAAAGGTCACACTTCTGTACACCTATTGCATCAGTCTACCACGTGACACTGCAATGAGAAAACACTGTTTTTACACATGAGCTTTTTCAATTTTGTGTTGTTTTGTCTGTGATGGATGGCAAAATTGAGCCATGTGTCTGCATCAAGTTTTGCGTGAAGCTCAGTAAATCCACTATCGAAACACTTCAAATACTTCATGAGTCTTTTGGAGAATATCCTTTAAGCCGGACAGTGGTTTCTGAATGGCATTCACATTTCACGGTTGGTTGAGTGTCAGATGAAGATGATGAATGTTCAGGGCAACCAAGTACCAGCAAAAAAACAGAAAATGTTGAAAAAATATGAGAACTTATTCACGAAGACTGCCACTGAACAATCCATGGGCTCACAGACATCAGTTGGGATCAGTCATGGAGTTTGCCAGATCTTAACAGAAAATTTGAAAATGTACCACGTTGCCACAAAGTTTGTTCCCTGAATCCTGACAAATGATCAAAAGCAATGGCGCTTAAATATGTGTCTTGAGCTATGAAAGAAGGCTAATGAGGACCCATTATGATCTCTAGAATCATAATGGTTGATAAAAGTTTGATTTATGGTTATGGTCCAGGAACAAAGCAACAGTCCTCACAATGCAAGAGCCCACAATCACCAAGAGCAGAAGAGTGGAAGGTCTAGGGTTCAACAAAGAGGATGTTCATTGTTTTTTTGATGTGAAGGGGTTTGTTCACCATAAATTTGTTCTTCCTAGCACTATGGTCAACTCTGACTTTTACTGTGATGTTTTGAGACGTCTGAGAGAAAATGTGCAACAAAAGAAAAAACAGGAACTTGGAACAACTATAACTGGCTCAATCATCACGACATTGCGCCTGCCCACACGTCTCTGAAAACCATAGAGTTTGTGACTAACAGTAACACAATTATCGTTCCCCATCCTCCCTACTTGCAGGACTTAGCCCCACTGTGATTTCACTTCGTTTCTTAAACTGAAAATGAAACTGAGGGGATGATGTTATGAAAGTGTTTGACATCCAAAATGGAGTAGAATGAATTTCTTGACTCTGAAGACTGGCAGTTTAAGCCTTTCTTGGATGCAGTGTTACCAATGCCCTGTAATTAAATTGCAACTTGAGCAATCAGTGAACAACCTAAGACCTTATATAAGTTTTGGGGTTTCCAAAACAGTGATTGTTAAAATTGTGATTTAATGCATTGTACTCTTGTAGGTGGATAGACAGTCAAGAGTTGACAGGAACATGAGTATCTCCTCACAAGACTACGTACTACTCCTGTGTTATATACAAACACACAATACATATACATAGTAGTCACTGAAGTTTGTGGAATGTGGTTTTATCGCACCATATTACAAGGTATTCATATACATTAACATGCTGTTGGCCACTATGCAAGTCTGCCAATGTTGATACAGCTATCAAAAACATTGCTGAAACATATTGGCAGTAAATTCCCATACAATGCTTTGCAGCCATTCCTTGAACTTATTGGCTGTGATAGTATATACAGCACCATGTTGTACTGTTGCTATGCAATGATCAAGAGAAGGAACACGTTGCTTGGTAACGATCGGTAAACATGTTCCCACAGAAATGATATCTAGTCTATCAATAGGCAGTCTTCAATGATAACAATTAAAGGATTGTCGGAGGCAGTGTTTTCTGTTGGATCCAACCCAAGGCTATACAGAGAGGACCCCAGGATGGCTAAGAGCAGTTCAGTTGAGTGAGTGAAATGAGGTAGGTGGTTAGTGAGTGAGAGAGTTAGTTGAGGGTTGACAGTTCAGTGGAGTTCTCTATGGGAGGCTGTGAAGGAAACAGCTCCAAGAGTGCAGCTGTGAAAGAAGATCCTATGTGTGATATGTGGAGTGTGTAGTTCAGTGGGACTGTTATAGTTCTTGTGGCAAAATCTGTTTTCTGAAAATGGCTAGTGGAGACCATAATAGACTGATGACACTAGTGTGTGTGTCTGTGATCTGTAAAGGGCAATAAATTGAGTCACCAATCCAAACTCTGTCTATAGTCACACCCTTAAATTGTGACAATATACAGGGGGGGAGGGGGGGGTCCAAAAAATGTACTCACTCTTTGATAGTCAATATCTTTGGAACAAAATGACATGTAGTTACAATTTCTTCGTGGTAGTGTAGTGTAATGTTTTCTCAACAGATGGCGAAGGTCACATGAGTCATGTGAGTGCCGTGCCGCGTGCATGCTGCGAGCAGAAGACAGCAGCAACAATGGCTGACAGGTTGTTCTTTGAGGAGCAACGCAAGGCTGTATTGAAGTGGTACTGGAAGTATGAAAACATTAAAGAGGCACAATGATAATGGCAGAATGAGTTTGGAACTCAGCCACCAACACGTCGAACAATAGCCCATATTCAGGATAAATTTGAAGCAAGGAAGTGAATCTACCGGGTGTTAATGTGTGGTGTGGTCTGTCATCGGGCGGTTTGATTGGTCCTTTCTTCTGTGAAGGTACTGTAACTGGTCAGGTGTATCTCAATATGCTTCAGACATCGATTTTCCCTGCCATTCGAGAGCTGTTTGGAGATCAGAGATTTTACTTACAACAAGATGGTGCTCCACCTCACTACCATCAAGATGTCAGGGTGTACTTGGATGACACTCTACCTGGATGATGGATAGGTCGAAGAGGTGCTAATGAGTACCCAACACAGTCTCCAGACCTAACACCTCTTGACTTCTACCTATGGGGAACCTTGAATGATGAAGTTTATCAACAAAATCCAGCTACACTGAACGTGCTACAAGAAACCATCAAAGCATCATGTGCGGCCATCACAGACACACTGACAGCCGTCGTTCGCTCAGCAGTTCGGTGCCATCGACGCTGTTTAGCCGCTGTTGGTGGCCACTTCGAAAACATACAATGACTCTCTCTCTTTGCGCAAGAATTGTAACTACATGTCATTTTGTTCCAAAGATATTGATTATCAAAGAGTGAGTACATTTTTTTGGACCCCTCTGTATATACTGTCATATGTAGGGTGGTACATATGACAAAAATAAAGGGTTCTAGTTCAGATGATTGGATTTATTAGCACCTCTGTTACAGTCTCTCTTAATTACAATTAATGCAGCACTATCGCTGATTTACACACTTTACAGTTCACCGCTGCACATGCACTATGACTGCATGTCTTCACTAGTCATCTCCTGGCACTGTATCTCAATACAGAAACTAGTACTGTAAATCACTATGAAGTCTTCTTGTTATTTCATCTTCAATCACTCTGTACTCCTGTCCTAATCTGTATTCAATTAATCTTCACAATTCACTAAGGGCATGCTCCATTCTTGTCCTGGTACTCTCCTGCTCAACCCGATGGCTCCGTGTCCTTGACTCTTGACTTCTAAGGTATGAATGACAGCAAACGACCTTCTCTGTCCCCTTTTGTTGCGTGCACATATCGTGGTGTGTTTACTGAGCCACTGCCTGGCAATGCATTGACATATCACTACATATAGTGTGTGTGTGTGTGTGTGTGTGTGTGTAGTATTATGTTTAGCCTATTTATTTAAAAAATAAAAGGAATCTTAATGAGATCATGTTCCTATATGTGTGTGTGTGTACACTTCGAGATAGCTTGCTGTCCATGTGTCCATATGTACATCCCCATATCACCCCCCACAATTTTTCACTTTCTATGCAGTCTGTGTCATATCGAAGGAAAGTAGGTGATTAGTTCTTCCCAGAACTTCTTGTTTACATTACTGAGTAACATACAACTTAAAACCTTTCACATGCCTGTGTGATAATGAAGTCCATCTACTTAACTTGCTCCTCATCAGTGAACTGTATGGCTTGCTGATACAAATGTTAGGCCATGATTATACCTGGTCAGTACCAGTTTTCTATTGCATACTATAGCTCATAACATGTTTCATGACTGATTATTTCCTAAGTCCTTTAATAACATCTTCAACTGCACAGTGTATACAATCTCAAAGACCATGAACAGTGTGTGAGAAATATGGGAGGGGGCTGATATGGCCTATTTTAAGGCATTAGTACTGAAATGTGAACACATCAGAGGAAGCCAAGGACCAAAATCAGGTTGTAGAGCCTGGAAGAAGTGAGAACTCCTGACATTTGCCTGCAAGAGGATATTGGATAACATGGCTGAGATTTCAACCAGGAATCTCAGAAATACAATTCTAGAATATTACTGCTACATGAACTTGATAGTCATCCGTCCACATATTAATAGCAAACGCATACTCACGTAGGGTATCCTGTCACATCATGCTCTGAACAGAGTGATGTGTCTACAGTGCAGTCCACTTTAGCTATCTTTACTTGCTTACTTTCATCTTTGTTAAATTCTTCAGCTAGCTGTTCCCATGTAGGCGCTAAGCGATTGCAATGCCCACACCTGCAATGTTCAACAGCGATTACCAAAAGAATATGAAGTACAAGATCTTACACATTCTAAGTGTCAGCTGTTTGTCTCAGTTTCTTTTGGGTCTACTGTTATCGTTGTATATATGTAATCACATCTCGAGGTGTTGTTTCTGACTATCCTGGCCTCTGTCTGCCTAGCAAGAATAAAGGCAAGAATCCATATTTGAGTTTGTATACGAAATAGTGGATTTCCATTTTGCTTACAGTGACAAGACAACAGTGAAGATAATGATAAAAGGGACTTTCAGGTTAGCATGGGATCTTGATCACAGTTGTGGATCTGGTAAACCCAACAAATACATATCATCTGTCACAAGTTATGGAAGGCAAAGGCACCTAAGAAAATCTGCTCTGAATTCAGCTGGTCTCAAACCCGAGTCCCTTTGCAGAATAAGATATCTTAAGCGTCATTTCCAACTTTATGTAGCCTAGATAAGATATATTTGTATGGGTGTAAAACTTGGTCTCTGATATTAAGGGAGAAACATAGACTGAGGGTGTCTGAGGAGAATATTTGGACTGAAGAGAGAGAGGATGGGATGGGACGGTATGGATTGGATTGATCTAGTTCAGGATAGGGACCAGTGGAGGGATCTTGTGAACATGGTAATGAACCTTCAGGTTCCATAAAAGGCCGGGAAATTCTTGAGTAGCTTCACATTTGGCAGCTCCTCAAGAAGGGCTCAGCTCCATAAGGAAGACAAGATATCTTAGAAATGTATGTATTCCATCTATGGGATTTTTGTTGAAGCATGACTCACGTTGTCAAGTGTCACATACAAATTGTCATAAAAAACATGACTGTTTCATGGTATAAAAACTGAGAAGAGATTCTCAGTTTCAGTAATCAGTATGGGGACACATTCATTTTGTGGAAAACAACCACAAGATTAACAATACTGTTTCAATTGTAGGAAGTCACTTAACATCAAATGAGTTAAGAATACAATTATGAACAGGAAAAAAAAAAAAAAAAAATAAGGAAAGTACACTGGAAGCTGCCAAGATACTGAGCAGGCAAGCTAAGCACAAATATGTCCAGTTCTTATTCTGCATGCACCCACTTTGAGGTAGCAACAATGATTCACAAAGGTATAGAAATTATTAACATAAGCAATAACCCAGTAGCAATTGACATATATAAGAAACAGTTCAGTACAAATCAACAGAGAATACTTGGTCTCGTTGTGTCCCTGCAATACTCCACTCTTTCAGAATCATATAAGATTTATATGCTGGATAATTAATACCAGATCCTAAGCTTCAACACAAGCAATACCATATAAAGATACCTGACAGCCTACCACAAATAGTTCAGCCAATCCTGTGGTAGAGAAACAAGCTGCTCCTGTCAACTCTTTCCACTCGTTACCAGACCAGCAGCACAATCGACAAGCCTACAGATTTACAGATTGCATACAAACCCATCCAGATCATAGTAATGCCCAAAATAGTCCTTGTTGTTACACATGCATCCTTGCACCTCACTAAAGTGATCATATTCATGCACTGAAGTTCCTTTTCAGAAACGCAGATTTTAAAATTAAAATCTGAAACTCTGAAGCACCATCTCCTCTGCAAGGTATCTTCAGGGATTTTCAAGAGGTAACCACTTTCATCCAGTTTCTCCTCTGTGAGCATTCAGGAGCTTTGATTCAGTTTCTTGTCTCTTAATGACTCTGTATGTCTAAACTTATTCACAATTACATTAACAGCGTTTTTATTTAGAACTAACAACTGAATTTTATGATGAAATCTTCTGCTTACTTTCCACTTAGGCATCATACATAAATATGTGTTTCAATCTACAACTCTCACATGGAATTTTGACACAAGAAGTAATGTGACTGAATGTTTAGTATTGTAGCATGGGACCTAAATAACACTTGACATGCACATGATGCATAAGGTTGCTTCATGGCTTTGTGGTAGCTATTGAAAGATTTATTACATCGATCCTGAAAAGAAATTTTAATGTGCACTGGCTACTTGATTCTTTGCTATGCCATCAGTCCAACAGTGGTGAAAACTGACATGAGTAGCTTGTGTCCCTCCTGCAAACTAACCAAACAATTTGCAGCAGGATCTCAGATAACCTCCCTGCATGAGACGATCCAGTGTCAAATCAAAATACCATAGTTCACATCCTAACATCCAACTTCTTTTGCAGTCCCATCTTATACCTTCAGAATAAAGTGACTACATTAAGCACTGCTTGCTTCAACATGAAAGAAAAATATGAACTTTGCCAACATGGATGTACTTTACATAAGTCTCAGAATAAACACCAATTATTTCTCTAAACATTATATTTGTAATGGACATGCAGTCTGTCTTCTATGAGATAAAAATCGTTAATTATCATTTCATCTTACATTTCTTCTTCCAAATATTCCTTCACTGATGTTTCCTCACCAAAGTTCCTCATGCATTCATTTATTTGAACTACATACGTCCATCCCATCCTCTCCTACTTGACTAATTACTGGCAATACTAGATGAGCTGTACAAACTGAGGAGTTCCTTAACCATTCTCCACTTAACCATTTCACTTGGATCCAAATGCTTTTAGGTAGCAGAAGCAAACACACAACAGAATTAATCTTACGGTACTCTCTTATATTCAGTACCTCGACTACTTTTCCATGGCATTTGCTCTATTTCTGCCACTGATGAGATTAGGTTTGAATGACTTAAAAAGTTTGTAGGTAGTTTGTGTTGCTTTAAACTCTTTCTTCCTCAATGCAAATCCTTCGTTATTATACAAACATGTGAGATCCTCGGGTCAATCTAGTTGAATTTCATTAAGATCTGTAAGACTCTCGTAAGGGAGACACCCTCACCTTCTCAGTTTTATTTATTTACTTCAGTTAAGGCCACCGCATACTTACCAAGGCGCAAAAAACATAACAAAATGATTTTTCTTAGGCACTTCAGTAGAAAATGTTTCACTTGTATACTGAACTGTATGGGTGCCACTAACACGTGCTACACTAAGAACAGCATAGCTTATATAACACAACGAAACTGGCCACATTTTACTGCCGTTAACAATTTTTACAGAAATTCCGCAATATCCAGGACCCGGTTTCCAAAGTCTGGCCGGCAGATATACAGCTCACAGAACAAACGCAATTCGCAACCTCCTCACCAACATTACTCTGCAACTTTGCAAGCCTGCTAAACGCTGGCCGCTGCGACCTACTACACTACAGACGCTACAGACTGCTACTAATCGGCCCTGATCGGTCCTGATAAGCTGTGATCGGACGGCTTCGGTTGTACTCGGTTTACAAGCAGAATCATGCAAAGAGACTAAAATTTCACGGATATTATTAAATACGGCTTTAATTCGTCGACAAGATCAATACCGGCGAGCAAAAACCAGTCTTGATAATCTAATGACCGAGCAGGTTACAGTAGTGCTAACGCCCTATAATTTTATTCGGGAGGTGTTCGGTTCGAATTTCGGCAGGGACACTGGCTATCCTAAATGAAGCGGTTCTTGGTTTTCTTCAGTACCTCCAGGAAAATGCCAGGATAATACCTGAAATTGGTCATAACCGCCTCCTCAACACATCCTTTCCTATTCATTATTCACTAATCAATCTATCATTCAACGCTACATAGCCTGAGGTAGCGCGAGCATTATAAAATAAACCACAAAGATGAAGCTCATAGCCATTCCAAGATATGTATTAGCATGTTCCCAGCAGCTAGTCCCTATCCTGTTTCGAGTGCTGCAGTCGGCCAGGGCGGTCCTGGCGCCACTCTTAAATCAGTTCTTCAAGCTGTACACAATCGGTCGGTTAAATTGCTGCTGGTCATTGCGAGCATAGTCATACTTGACTTCAGGTATCATCGAGATCTATGACCAAGAGTTTTGCTCTCTCCTAGACATGTACATGTTTAGAAGTTTGGCCTCCTCTTCAATGAGGGAAGTGGGAAGTCTTTCTGTTGGCCTACGTCCGTTACATCGTAGTGCTTCTAAATTGCTGATGGTCTCGCTAGCACAGTGATTTTTGGCTCCAAGCCCCACGGGACCCATGCCCATACTTTATTATCTGACGGTTCTGGGAGCCTTCTGACTCACTTCTCTTGTTTTGACTGTCATGCTGTGTAAGCTATGTACGGGTCGCGGTAAGACGGGTAAGACTCTTTGTATGCATATGAAAGCCGTTCCACTTCCCTATTCAAGGCTAACTGTAACTTCGCTATTATAAAAATATGGACAAGTGGCTATGTTCTTGCTTGAAAAAAAATATATATATATATACTCGCGCACTTCCTTCAGTTCCTTAATCACGTCTGAAAAGATCGGTTGTTTTAGACACGGTCAAAATGTTGGCCCGATGTGAACGAATTCGATAGCATAAGTGGCCCATAGTTGCTTTCTTCTAGTCTACACCTCTACCTGAGTCTAGTACACTCGGTAAACTCCCTCAAGCGTCAGTTCTTTAAGAGCAATTGTACCAGATATACCGTATTTACGCATGTATAGGCCGCAGCACAATTTTCAGACAGAAATTATAGAAAAAATAATTTTCTTGGAATATTATTTCAGGAGTAGAAATTGTTCCGAAATTTGGCAACGTTATTTTTTTTTAAATGAAGTGTGATTTCGAATATTTCGAATATAAGCCGCACCCCAGTTTTCCTCTTGAATTTTTGGCAAAAAATGTGCGGCCTATACATGCGTAAATACGTATTCCTTTCCTATTCCTAAATCTTTCAAATGGTGTCCTCCCTTCGGTTTTTTGACCACAGTTTTGTACATCGCATTTCAGCACGTCATAAGCACTGGCTGTCATCTGCCCAGTTATCATAATTTGATACTGGAGGCGGATCAAGTCTTATCTGTATACATACCATTACAATGACAGTTCATGGGCAGAATACCCATACGACAACACTATACCAAAGACTAGACAACAGATGCGCAGCCCCCGGCTATGTTTTCGTATAGACCATGCCTGTTTGATAACCCCCCAAACTGTGATTTGTTTTATTTCGTTCCCCTTTCATCAGTAGACCGTTGGAATGTGCCATCCTACTCTTGTCCGCTTGACGTCCATTTTCCACCTGTCGATTACAACGGCAAAATTGTGAAGTTTTCTGCTCTAAGCACTATGTAGGGGTGGCGGCGATATCTGATTCAGGGGTAAAGGGAGTGAATAAAATAAATATTAACTATATTAACAATACACTATTATATTTTTTGGTGGGGGGGAGACAACTATTAAGTTGTTAATAGAGAGTCGGTTATTGTTAATATCTAAAATACATCCTGGTTGTTTCCTACAAGGGAATTACAATTTTTCAGAAAATAGAGTTTTGATTCATTTTGCACACATTATTCCGTTGACATTAAAGAAAAATATTTACTTATTTTCCTTCAACCAACTTAGGCAATCGAAAGCTGATTAAAAGACCGATTTTCCTTCGGACGCATGACAAAACACGTTGCGTCGTTATAGCAACCACATTAACAAGATGGCAGAAAGAATAGTACCGTCAGTTCACTCTCTTGTTAAGTATGATAATCCCGAGCTGGTCACCAAACATCAGAAAAAGAAACCAACAATTAAGGTAATGATAGGGTATAAGTGTAGTACCTGACGTTCTTTGGAAAAAAAATTTTATTCCCTCTGTGCGCCATTGATTGTGAATTCTTGTATTTCACAAACAGGCATGTGCCAATTTAGGTATATGGTTCGGCATGTATCATGCGTGAGGAATTTAAGGATTTCCAGTGAAGAATTTCATGACTACTGTGTCAATATCCGAAAGATAAAAAGGGCAATGACTAATAGAATGGAAGAATCTCGATTAAGTCTACCTGGGCAAAATGTTTAGTGCTGCACAAATCCCATGAGAAGGAACCAGGGATCAAATTCGAATGACAACTAAGAAGTATGATACTTGCATACAATGGGAAAATATCTAGCAGTTCAGGGTGTGCAGAAGCATTAGACCTCACCTAACGGAATTATCAAAAATATTGCAACAATACATCGACTTTGATGGTCAAGATCATTGCTTAAGATAATCGCTAGTTCATTGTGATTGCAGTATTCCAGCGCCTGCGCAGATAACACAGTCGAACCGAGCGGCCATATGGGACGGCATATTTTGCAGTTCCCTTGTTTTTTCTTTCACGAAAAATTTCTGTTGCTATTTTTCCATATCGTGATAATCAAATGGCAGTAATCTAAACATGTTATACGCATAACATTGTAAATATAAATGTTTAAGAGCTGAGACATCGACGACGGTTTTCGTCATGGTGACTGTAAACTTCGAGTTACATTTACGAAGTTTTGAGAAACCTGCTCTGTTTTTAACTGAGGTGGGTCCCTGTCACCACGGCATGGCGCGTCCTCAGATTGCGGATGGAGGAGACGCCCTCCAGTTTTGGAGGGAAGCTGCGAATATATTGAATAAGCAGTAGCGGACAGCCGACAAGAGGCGACCCTCCAGCTTGGGGCTAACAACTCCTCACCGTAAAAAATCATTATGTTACGAAAATGAACACAAAGCCTCGGACCTGGACGGATTCCTTGGATACACGACAGAAAATATTTGGACCGAAGAGGAATGAAGTGACAGGAAGTTGGAGAAAACTGCATAATGGGAGCTTCATAACTTTTACTCTTCTCCAAGTATAATTAGAATGATCAAGTCAAGGAGGATGAGGTGGGCAGGTCATGTAGCACGAATGGGGGCGACGAGGAATGCGTATAGGATATTGGTGGGAAAGCCGGAAGGAAAGAGACCACAGGGACGACCAAGGCGTAGGTGGGTGGACAATATTAAAATGGATCTTAGAGAGATAGGATGGGATGGTATGGATTGGATAGATCTGGCTCAGGATAGGGACCAGTGGAGGGCTCTTGTGAACACGGTAATGAACCTTCGGGTTCCGTAAAATATTGGGAAATTCTTGAGTAGCTGCAGAATTGGCGGCTCCTCAAGGAGGACTCAGCTCCATGAGTAAGTAAGTAAGTATGGGGCGGAGTAATTTTTCCTCGCCTGGCTTGGCGTGGCTAAATTTTTAATGTAAACGAAAATGTGACCAGTACCCACACCATATTAATACATGATCACCGAAACATGACCAGAGGCCTAAAACAGATCCTAATTAGTTTCCCAAAAGGAATATTATATTTAATTACAGTGATCAATATCCCACCCATTTAGGTAGGTCCCTTGTCACCACGGTATGGTGTGTCCTCAGGTTGCGGTTGGAGGAGACGCCCTCCAGGTATGGAGGGTAACTGCGAACATATTGCATACACAGTCATGGACAGCCGACAAGGGGTGGTCCCACGGTTGGAGGTTGGGTGAGACTAAAAACTCCTCACCATAAAAAATTAGCTTGTTACGAAAGATCACAAGAAGCTTTTGCCCTGGAATGGTTCTTTGGATAAACAACATAAGCCAAAGAAAATGGATATGAGATTTGGTATTTGGAATATTAAAAGTATGTATAAAGTAAAAGTAAAGCTATCCCTGTAACAGGCCGTGAAGGCCCATAGGGTTGTGAGACGTTAAGGGTCCCACACTATCTAGACAATCGGCTCAGAGATGGCGGTAAGGTTGTCAGCCTTATGCGCGGGCCGCGCTCTACTCCCCAGGAAAATTATTTATTTAATTCCTGGTACTCATTTCTGTTAGAGGCTGAGTGAGGGATATTGCTTCTATCAACTTCATACAAATTATTATCCAATATTCTTCTCTCTCAATGTTAAGTCCATATATAAATGATATTATTGGGAATCATCAGTGTGGGTTTCACCTACCGCTCAGATCTTTTGCAGTCATCAGATACTGGAGAAAAAATGGGAGTACATTGAGACAGTACATCAGCTATTTGTAGACTTGAAGAAAACCTATGATTCAGTTAGGAGGGAATGAATGAATGTATAAGGGGTGGGCCTTCTCTGTCCTTGCACCGTGACCACAGTGATTTGTTGTGCCTCCCCTTCTGATTATCCCCTCAACAATCCTGCACTTGGAATGAAGTGCAGGATCTTCTACATGGGTACGTCGAAATGGTCACTTGGTTCCATAAATTATTGACCCATGTGGCGCAATCTTAAACAAGCTAAGGCTTCACATTCCCACAGGATATGTGTGGCTGTTTCATTTTCTTCTTGACACCTCTCACAAGTTGGACTGTTACTTGGTCCCAATTTGAAGAGGTGTCCTTTGAGGTGACAGTGTCCTGTAAGTAGTCCTACTACCCATCGTAGCTGGTTCTTGTTTAACTTCAACACTTCCTTTGCTCGTTTAGTAGAGGGTCCTCGTAAGAGTCCCTTTGCCTGCCTGAGTCCAGTTAAGGATCCCCAGTATTTATTGTGATTCATATTTGTCCAGTCCCTGATTGCCTGTCTGGCAACTGCTATAGAGATGCCACAGGCTGGTTCAGGTCCTATGAACGGATGTTCAGCTCCAATCTTAGCCTATTGGTCTGCTGTTTTGTTTCCAGCAATAGCCTCATGCCCCAGCACCCATATCAGTTGTACCCTGTTATGTTTGGCCAGTTCCATGAGAGTTTGTTGGCAATCCCAGACCAATTTTGAGTTGATCTGGTGTTTGTCAAGTGCTTTAAGTGCAGCTTGGCTGTCTGATAGAATGTAGATCTTCCTATTTCTGCAGTTCCTATCTAAATTCTCCATAATACATGCCTTAATGGCATATAATTCTGCCTGGAATACTGTTGTGTACTGCCCAAGGCTGAAACTAAGTTTTCGCCTCGTGCCATAGCAGTACACACCAGCTCCAGTGCCCTTATTTATCTTGGAACCATCTGTATACCAGATCAGTCCCCCTTTTCTGTCGGGCCGAAACCAGTCTTCCCATTCAATCCTGTCAGGAAATCTGACTGTGAATGGTTTTTCATATACATGTCTCAGTATCATTTTGTCAGACTCCATTTGTAATATGGGTTCTTTTTTCGTGTCCTGAGTTATGTATGCCTGTCTGAAACTATGGGATCTAGGTTTTCATTGATCACTGCACTGGAGACGGTAGATTCCTGCCCTGGCCTCTGCCTCCAACTGTATATGCAGTGGGGGGAGTCCAAGGAGTGTCTCCAGTGCAGCTGTTGGAGATGTTCGAATTGTTCCTGTGATACCCAAGCAAGCCAACCTTTGCAATTTGCTAAGTTCTGCCTTGCTTGTCTTCAGTTTAACTCTGGGCCACCTTACTGTGGTGCCGTATGTAATTGTGGGTCTTACAACAGCAGGGTATATCCAATGCACAACGTGCAGTTGCAGTCCCCAGGTTTTACCAAACATGCTTCTGCATGTCCAAAAAGCCTGATAGGCTTTGTTAATGGTTTTGTCCAGCTGCTTTTTCCATGTCAGTCCCTTGTCTAATACTTGACCAAGGTACTTGACATCGCTGGATCATCTTATGGAAGAGGGTCAGTTCCTTAAGGCCCTTTATGTTTCTCTTCCTGGTAAATGTTATAATTACCATCTTATTGGGATTGATGGAAACGCCTCTTCTTTCACACCATCGTTGGACCGTGTACAGAGCTGTTTGAAGACACTCTGATACTGCTGAAAGGAATTTTCCATTTATGAGGATTGCTATGTCATCAGCATATCCTACTGTATAATACCCATCATCATTAAGTCCCCACAGGAGATCGTCAATGACCAGGCTCCACATCAGAGGCAAAAGCACTCCCCCCTGAGGATGCCCCCAGGGTCTCTCCTGATAGTGTGATCATTTTTTCTATCCTGAATGGTCTAAAACAAGGAAATGCTGTATTGCCACTGCTTTAGAGTATGCCATTAGGAGGGTCCAGGAAAATCAGGTGGGACTGATATTAAATGGGGCACAACAGCTGGTGGTCTATGCTGATGTGAATCTACTGGGTGATAACACAGAAATTTAACCGATGCTAGTAAAGAGGTTGGTCTAGAAGTAAACATAGGGAAAACTAAGCATATGTTGCTGTCTCATCACCAGAATGCAGGGCAAAACATGACATAAAAGAGAGCTAACAAATGTTTTAAAAATGTGGCAGTGTTCAAATATTTTGGAATGACTGTAAGAATCAAAATCTGATTCAGGAGGAAATTAAGAGGAGATTGAATTTGGGTAATGCTTGTTACCATTCAGTTCAGAACCTTTTGTCTTCTCATCTGCTGTCCAAAAACATAAAAATTAGAATATGCATTAGAATATGCCTGTGGTTCTATATGGGTGTGAAACTTGGTCTCTGACATTAAGGGAGTAACATAGACTGAGGGTGTTTGAGAATATTTGGACCAGAGAGAGATGAAGTGACAGGAGGTTGAAGAAAACTGCATAATAAGATGGACAGGGCCTGTATCACAAATGGGGAAGAAGAGAAATGCATATAGGATACTGATTAGAAAGCCAGAAAGAGACCACTAGGCAGACCAAGATTAAAATGGATCTTAGAGAGACAGGATGGGATTGATCTGGCTCAGGATATGGATCAGTGGAGGGCTTTTGTGAACATGATAATGAACCTTCAGGTTCCATAAAATGCTGGGAAGTTTTTGAGTAGCTACACAACTGGCAGCTTCTGAAGCAGGGATCAGCTCAGTGAATGAGTGATCAATATTCCCCTTCAGTTTTACACAAAAGTTTTCTCTTTTCTTCAGAATTCAGTTTGGAACAATAGATTCTGTCATGGGGTGATTAAAACTTAAATAATATATTTCATACTCAATTTATTTTGCCTTATTGATCAACATATCCAGAAATAAAATCCTACACACACTGCTCTCCAAAGGATTTGACCCCAAAAGACAGCCAGTCACCCTTAGCCTGATTTGTGTCAAATAAAATATTAGTTGGACAACCAGTTACCTAACATTAGGATCTTTCTAATTATTGTTCTGATTTCCTTGCACACTAAAGCCACAGCCAGGCAAGTTGTCTCTTGGTGCAGGGGCAGCATTACCTTCACCCCTTTCAGTACATTCAAAATCAGCCCAGCTTACTGCCGACCATCGCAGGGAGGCAGAAGAGATTTTGAATTCTATATTGCCACCTAGAGAATGGGAAGAAGAAGGCCAACTGTGGAGACAACAGGTAAATAACAGTCAAATAACCTTCCTTTATGAGATTTTGGTTTGCTGCAGTGTGTCGCCATGTAGATTGGTACCTATCAAATTGCAGTGTCACACCGAAGAAGATCAAAACCTTCATTGCCTTTTGTTTAGGACGCAAATGGATAGAATGCATCTCTTAGTCCTACTTTAGTGCCTATTTCACATTCCCTTCAATCTCAGTAATAAAGTTCTGGGGCTGTCCCTTTGACCTTTCTGGTTGTCACTTTTGGAAAGACTTCTCCTTCCAGATTCTCTTGTGAACAAAGTAATGTATTTTTGGGTTCCATAAAGTATAGGGAATTTGAGTGCCGGGTTTATTATTATTATTGGAGAGGGTGGGTTTCCCCATGCACTGCGACCATTTGTTGATCTATTGTGCATCTCCCTTTAATTATTCTACTAGTCGCCATGCCTTTCCAGTACTGGTGCTCACTATCAGCCCCATTCTGCCAGCGAGGTCGGCCCTCTCTGGCAGTGGTCCCCAATACTTCCCCCTCTACCGGAAGAATTGGAAACTACTTGGGCAGGAAACTTTCTGACTAATTTTGCTCAGAGGTCTCCTAGAGACATGAGGATCTTTTACGTGCTGTAAATCTATGACACGGGACACATGGCTTGAAGTCCCTCCTGGAGGACTTGTTCCCTGAATATTTTCACCAGGTTTGAACCTGCGTACCTTGAGTCATGAGGTGGGAATGTTACCCCTAGACTATGGAGGCCACTGAGCGCTGGGTTACTATTAGCCCATCAAAAGAGAGATGCTGCAACACAGAATTGCTTACTTGTAGGATTATAAGAAATAAGATCCAGACCACATATGAAAACCCCTCACAACAAAAGGTAAAATCTGAAGTTCAGACATGCAATGGGTATTTGGTAGACTCATGATTTTGCATTAATTCACTTCAATTATGCAAAATTAGTGTAGTTCATATATAAGGGTAGCTGGAATGGAAACATGAAATTCTAATAAAGTTCTGTGCTATTTCCAGGTCTCAAGTACTCCTGCAACACGTTTGGATGTAATCAATTTGCAAGAACAGCTTGACATGAGGCTACAGCAGAGACAAGCACGAGAGACAGGAATATGTCCTGTCAGGCGTGAACTGTATACACAATGCTTTGGTGAGTTCTACTAAATCCAGCCACATTACATCTCACACCAAGAAGAATCTGCTGCAAACATAACAAATAGGGGACTTATAAAGACCTGTTGATTGACTATAATGGAATGGCAGGTCTATGAAAGATAGCAGGACACAAAAGAGAAATGCTTAAGGGAAGCCAAAGTAGAATGAAGAAGGCTTTATCATATGGTGACCCACCTAGAAACAGCATTTGATAACATGCTTCAGCTTGTCATTAGAGTATTTTAATCATCATTCATTAACTTTTTACCTGGGTCACTCTGTGATTAAGCCCTTTTCATTCCTCTCAATTTTCCAGCTATGATCTGAAATCTTCAGAACTATTTTTCTAATTCAATTAGGCCAACTATAAACTCCTTCGTTCTGACATTAACTGATAATAACACTATATTTGAATATCTTACCACATTCAATCATGGATGTCTGCTAAGACCACATTCCAAAATATATAACATTATAAAAGAAGCATGAATATATTTCTAATGAATTCCTCACCTCTGCTTCAAGATGAATTAATTCGCCAAGTAACAATCAACTGTGCAGAACGTGGACTGCTGCTGCTTCGCATCAGGGATGAGATTCGAATGACAATCTCTGCCTATCAAATCCTGTATGAAAGCAGTATAGCATTTGGTATCAGGAAGGCCCTCATGGTTAGTATAGCTTCATGATATACTAAATGATGTACCCCTGTATATTCTTTACACCAAAGAATAATCCACTCTGTAAGTTCTCAAGAACTTCAATCCTCTTAGAAGCAGATACTTTCCCAGGCCAAGAGTTTCTTAACACAGGTGGACATCAAACAGGTTAAGATTATCCCTGTGCTTAATTAAACCACCATTAAACATGTGGGGGAATCGACATACAGTTCCAAAAGCACTAGATGGACGTTCCCTGTTCATCCAACCCATAGCATGATTACTGTAATGAAAGAACTATCTCAGCATCACACACCGTGACGTTTATGAACTGGGCTTAGTAATACACACTGAAAGAACTTCTTTATTACAACTGTCACATCACAATTAATATCAAGATCAGTGCCTAGTTTTGGCTCTGCTACATGTTTTGGCTATTAATAGTCATCATCAGGCAAATACATGGTTAACATACATACACCATTGAACCACAGTACTAGTAAAATTGGATACAATATTATTAATTATATAAAATACTTGAAGTAAAAATACAATAAATTAGATTATATAAAACAAGAATAAAATTATTTGATTGATGTTTTACATCATCGAGTCAGTCGTTGGTTTTTGTAATTTTGTTGCGTTCCCACTGACGAATTGGAATATTCTATATTTTGTGTATATATAAAAAGATGTATTGGAGGCTTGTGATGTAGATGTAGTAATATTAATGTTAATTATTTAGTCAGTGCCTCATCTTACAAAGTACTGTCCGTTCTGTAGGGAATGGAAACAACGAATTTCCTACATTCCCTACAGAACAGACAATACTTTGTAAGATGAGGCACCGACTAAATAACTAACATTAATATTACTACATCTACATCACAAGCCTCCAATACATTTTTTTATATAAAGGATGTTTCACGACTCTAGGGCATAACTGCAGGAGGTGATTTCCTAGGTCTTTGTGATCAAAAACGTTCATATAAAGATGTGTCCGATTTTGGACGGTTATGGAGTTATGACCGTTTTCAACTCAGAATAGAAGGTAGCGATTACTGACAATAAACGGAACAAAATAATAAACCAGCATAATACACGATACATTTAAAGTATGAATGCAGAGTTAGCTTCGTGGAATTACCTTTAATTTGAATTGATTGGTGCTTAAACCTGATTTTCGAAAATGCCACAGACGGCCACAACACAGGCTGACACTTGGTTGTGAACTGCGCTGGAGATACCAACCCAACCCAACCCATCTTAGGTAACTCTCATGTGTCCAGATAACGAGAATGCTCTGTCTGTAGCTGGCTAAAAATAGCGACCTGCCAGATGACAGACGCAGTTCATACGAGGGCATGTACGGGAATGAAAAAACGGTCATAACTCCGTAACCGTCCAAAATCGGATACATGTTTATATGAACTTTTTTGATCACAAAGACCCAGGAAATTACCTCCTGCAGTTATGCCCTAAAGTCGTGAAACACCCTGTATACACAAAATATAGAATATTCCAATTTGTCCGTGGGAACGCAACAAAATTACAAAACCAACGACTGACTCGATGATGTAAAACATGAATCAAATAATTTTATTCTTGTTTTATATAATCTAATTTATTGTATTTTTACTTCAAGTACTTTATATAATTAATAATATTGTATCCAATTTTACTAGTACTGCGGTTCAGTGGTGTATATATGTTAACCATGTATTTGCCTGATGATGGCTATTAATAGCCGAAACATGTAGCAGAGCCAAAACTAGGCACTGATCTTGATATTAGTTGTGATGTGATGGTTGTAATAAAGAAGTTGTATATTATAACACAACAGGTTGCATGAAATGAAAAAAAAAAATGGAAAGAAAGTGGAAAGGCTAACTGCAGTCTGGCCTACACAGTTCTAAATGAGCTGTGTGACTGAATCCCTCATTAATATTAAGTTCACTTACAGTTCATTTACATTACAAAAGAAGATTGTCACAATCTTTGCGGGTGACAAACTTTGATACTCTCACAGAGTTCTAATTAAGAGATCAGAATTCCTACTTCTTCCATGTGAATACATTTCATTACTGATCTTCATAATAAATAATTAACAACATTTTCAGACTAATTCAGCTGTACATAGTGTTAACACAAGAAACAAGAACCATCTTCATAGACCAACTGCAAATCTCTCACGTTTTAAGAAAACTACATATTGTGTTGGCATCAAAACTTTCGACAATCTACCATTTAGTCTCAAAAGTCTTTTGAATCAAAAGACAAAATTTAAAACAGAATTAAAACGATACTTAGATACACAATCATTCTACACTGTGATGAATTCCTACTGTCTAAAAATGACTCACCCTTCCATGTGATGTATGTATGCATGCAGCTACAGCTATTGTACATATAAATTCTATTGCTGAAAAGTTTATTGGCAACAGAGATGTTATATTGTAAATAGCATTGATCAGTTTGCTATTTTATTAAATACATACCTCAACAAAGATAGTTTCAAATAAAAGTTATGCTTCATAATGAGATCTACATTACATGCTCCCAATTTTTGTAAAACGAGGAACATCAAAATTCTTCAAAATCTCTTTACTGGATATGGTGATGGGCAGAACCTAGCAATTAGGTGTTCATTTCATGCATTATATGCAAAGAACCACTTACTAATATTCTATACAAATATCCTGTCTTCCCTGTTTCAGCTACAGAGGCAGCCTACTGTAACCTCATACACTTTACTATCCTAAGAATAACAGGTTGCCTGTATAAATTATACATTTCCTTGTTCAGTACTTCATCCCTCTTAGGTCCAAATATCTTCCTGGGCCCTTTGTATCCAAACACTTGTAATTTGTGTCCTTCCTTCAAAGTTGTTCACCCATACAATGATCTATCTAAAACCATCAACAATAAATCTAAACCAATTCTATATGCAGATGACACTAGTATAATATTTAAGAACTCTAAATTTGACAACTTTAAAAATGACATAAATATTATATTTGAAGCCTTAAACAGATGGTTCGAAGCCAATTTACTCTCATTAAATTTTGATAAAACCCATTACATATCATTCACAACTAAAAACAACCACCAAATTGATCTGGACATCAGTTATGCCAACAAATTAATCTGTAAAGTACTTGATACAAAATTCCTTGGAATACATGTAGACAGTACACTGTCTTGGAAAATACATATTGAACAAATTATACCTAAATTAAATGCAGCTTGCTATGCGATGAGATCAATTAAGCCTTTTATGTCACAGGAAACATTGAAGATGGTTTACCATGCCTACTTTCATTCTATTATGAACTATGGATTAATATTTTGGGGGAACTCTTCACATAGTGTAATAATTTTTAAAATACAAAAGAATATAATTAGAATCATTACAGGATGTAGAAGTAGAGATTCATGTAGAGAATTATTTAAGAAATTAAAAATTCTACCTCTTCAATCGCAATACATATTATCGCTTCTCTTATTTGTTGTTTACAACAAAGATAAATTCAAATTAAATTCTGATGTCTATAACATGAATACTAGACAAAAATATAACTTCCACCTACCCTCATCAACTTTATCAGTATATCAAAAAGGAGTCTACTTTACTGGCATAAAAGTGTTCAACAATCTGCCACAAAGTATTAAAAACTTGGGCAATGATACTAAAAAGTTTAAATCAGAGTTAAAGAATTATCTACATGCTCATTCCTTCTACTCTTTAGATGAATACTTCAATGTAAATAGAGAATGATGTAAAATTAAGTTATATTAATTTTTAAGCTAAAATTGCCTGTACTTATGTATGTAACCTTTTGACTTGTTCTGTATCCAAAGGTACTAACCTGCTTAGGATTTATAGAATGTAAATAAATTCAATTCAATTCAATTCAATACAACAGAACTGGCAAAATTATTATTCTAATATCTTTTTACATTTAATGCAAATTCAGTTCAGTTCAATACGATTAAACTAAGGCATCACCAAATTAACAATGTGTGTTAAGTTCTCTGCCTCCCACTCCTCCTCTTTCATTATTCATAATTATTTTCAATGTATAACAACCTTAGCATTTGGTACATCACACTTCAACCAAATAACCTAATGAACCATTCCTCTTTAACGAACCTGAGAATGCTCAATTTTCATAGGCCGAGCAAGGCAAAGCTGACCTGGAAAATACTGTGACCAAGCTCCAATCAGAGAAGTCTGACCTAGACAAGCAAGTTATGGAACTGCGGTCTCGCGCTGATCAGATTGAGCGACGCTCTAATGAACAGAAATTAGCAGAGGCAAAGAAACATGCAGAAGATATTCAGTTCCTCAAGAAGACCAATCAGCAACTGAAGGTAATGAATCAATATTTCCTTACTTAACACAAATTCCATTTAATTTTCTTGTGCTTGGAAGCTACTACTGAATTTTCCTTCTCCATAGAAAAATAGACTAAAATATACAAAACTATATAATACAACACATTTCATGTAGGTGAGAACAGCCTTTATTTTCTAGAAACATGTGTGTTGGTACTGTCACACTCAGTTTTGGCCTCAGTGTTGAAAAGAAAGATGTGGATGTGTGACTTTTGACTTCAAAAAGTTTGTCAATACACATAATTTATCTGCCAGTTTGCATACCAGCTAAAAGAGAGCTCTGGATATGAATCTTGATCTTTCACTGTAGGAGAAAGAACACAGACTGAGGGTGTTTAAGGTAAGTGCTGTGTAGACCAGACATACAGATTAACAGGAGAGCACAGAAAACTACATAATGAGGAACTTTACAGTTTGCAGTCTTCACCTAGAATTTTTAAAATTATATTAAAAAGACTAATATGAGAAGAGAATGCAGCATATGAAGAAATATTTATAAAATTCTGGTAGGAAAACCTCAAAAGAAAAGACCACTTGGAAGTTCTAAACGTTGGTAAACGATTATTGCAATTTATCTTTGAGGAATGTGTTCTGAATAAACAAAGTGGACTCAAATGGCTCAGGTCATGACCTTATAATGACTATTGCCAGCAAGGTTCCATTGAAGGCAATTTGAAATGTCAACTGCTGAAAGATCATGTACTGAGGTTTGATGCTTCCCTCAGAATTTTGATCAAGTAACATTTCACTTTCTACATTGAATGGATAGAACTGAAATACGCACAAATATTTTCCAGACATGTTCTTTGTGACTTTGCATGCCTTATTCATTGACTTTGGTGACCATTTATCACAGATTAAGGTTAATTAATTCATTATTAGAAATTAACAGACTGTTTTTTTTTTTGTTTCAGGCCCAACTTGAAGGAATTATTGCACCCACAAAGTAATGAACTCCCCCACTATCAGGAATGTATGAATCCAGTGTAACGTGCAGTTTTGTTTATGAGAAATCACATTACACAAACCCATACCTATTTCATTTATCTCTTGCTTCCATTCATACTAGCAAACTTATTGTCTGAGCCATAACTGTGGACTGTAGCAAACAGTGGAAGAATGGCATCATTTGATGCTAAGAGAGTAGCCACTCATTCCTCTCTTTGGTGGCTCAGTAAGCAAGTCTCTCATTCAATTTGTTTATAAATACCAAAAGAATGATGTGAATGAAAAATGGGATTTCAAACTCATTCAGTGTCATATAAAACTTTGGTTATCAAAGAACCTAAAAGAAGTATACAAGGAATATATTCAAATGTGTGTGTGCACACGTGTTTGCGTGACAAGCCTGCAATATTATGAATACAGTAGAAAGTTTATTACAAATTCTGTGCCAGTGCTAGACTATGCAGAGTTCCAAATAATTTAAAGGGTGGTATTACAGCAGCAGGACACACTATGATTTTAGTATTATAATATAAAACAGATAATGTACACGAAAGAAGTACATGAAGAAATGTTGAACTGGATTTTATGTCACTTTTGAAATCATTCAGTGTCACATAAATCATTGATGTGATGACTGCCAAAGAAAATATAGGAAAGATATGAGGACTGTAGTCAGTCTGGTACAATAGCTCAGTAAGTGACGGAGTGAATTTGAGGTTTGCACACATCCCTGCTAAAGAACCTATTAAGACTTTTCGAAAGTACGATTCCCTATGTCATATAAATTAAATATGAGGTCATTACAACGTAAAATGTAGCTCACTTATTCCAATGAAGTATCATTTTTTAAATAACCCCTGAGCAAATTGATGCATCTGTCTCATCCTGGAACAGGTTTAAAAATGCTGTGGCAGCAGAAATTAGGCTCTTGCATTTGCAGCCCTTCACAAACAGCCATTTCCACTGCTTCATGACTGTGGAACTGGCACTCTCACAAGTGTTCCTTTAGAGTCTCAAACAAATGGAAGCAGCCCAATAGGGCAAACTAAATGATGCATTTGTCCCATCCTGGCATAAGTTTAACACAAATGTTACAGGCTTATTGAATATCCCTTGTATTTGCATCAGTCTGTCTGCCAATTTGTACAGGGTGATTCTAAATTACTGTCGGGATTTCCATTTACTGGCCAGATATCCTCACAATAATTTAGAAACCACCCTGTATCGACTCATGGGTGGCAGAAGGCAAAGATAAGACTAGCAGGGTCCCAATCCAGCCGATACAAGGAGGTATTTTATTTCTACAAAGAGGAGAATTGTTTTCAGCACAGGGCACAAGGGAGTGCTGTTCCATCACTTATAATGTCACTGCAGAAAGTAGGCCTAAGTTACCAATAAAAGAGTAAATTTTTAAAATGTGAACATAATCCCCCCCTTAAATATAGGCAATGGGTGCAGGGGAATTTATTCAGCTCCGACACCACTCGTTCAGAGGATCATGAGCCACCACTGGCTCCATTACATGCATGCCAGTATATTTTACTCTACTCAGACATACAAGACAGTATATCAACACCTGAGGATATTTCAGAAGTTATTTGAAGCCAAATGAGAATATTCTAACACCTAGAAAATCAAAGGACAGACAAGACATATGCAGCTCCCAAATTAATGTCAATACTAATATGTTAAAATTCTGTAAAACTTATTCTTGTTCCAGTTATAAATGAATACTTCTCTTCTTCACAAATCTATATTAAAATTACAATCCTTGAACTTTCAAATACCTTATCTTCAAACTGTCACTGCAGAAAAACCATCAAGTGCGAAGATATGGCACGTTCAGAATGTATACACACTCAAAAACAAGTCATACACACACACACAGGGATGAACAAAAAAAGGAATCTTTAGACTTCTATTTCTGAAATCTTAACAAAAGATATCAATATCACTGCAAATATATTTTTAAACAATATGCCTTAAAATTTGTAAATACACACATCCAACTAATAAAACACCATTTCAAGGTAAGGAAATACAGACTGTCTATATCAACATCACAGAAAATTGAACAAAAATTATTTCATGAAATTATACTCTTCATTTCATCTTGATATGGTACTGAGTCTATGACACAACAAAATTTACACTGTACATGCACCCTCAAAGCTGCAGGAGCACTCTGTGGAATAACAATACTCGCTCTATACAATGGACCAGTAGCTGTGGCAGTATCAGATCCAGAAGTATTATCATTCACAGCTGTTTTTATGAAGAGATCAACACTGATCTGATATAATTATTATGTCACGTCCACAAAGCCACAACTGCAGTTAATAACATTTATTCATCCCAAGACTGTAAAACCGTTTATTATGCATTCTCTAATGGTTATTAAATAAATTCTTACAAATATGCCTATATGACTGCTACTCTTTTGTACAGGTATCATGAAATACATATAAATGAACAATGGATGTATTAGGTTAAATACTTAATTCTAGCAGAATGTGTTAAATGACCTGTTAATTAAATAATAATAGAAAAAAACTCCCATACCATTAAAATTTGTGATGTGTTCAACAGATCATCTTCGTAAAAAACTTTTCCATCAAAAATATTATCTTGATCAAATATAATAAAAACATATAAAATACTTGTCACAATAATGAGAGGTACATAGGGGGGGGCCAATCAATGAACAGCATACTACTTTAATAATATAAATCTTTCTTTATTATTACAAATAAGCATTCTTAGAGAACCCCACCCATGTCTGCATCATAAATTATTTAACTCTTACACTGCACATTATTTTTCACAGCTCAGCGCATAGTCTTAGATGCCTTTATAACAGCAGTGACATGGTTAAAATGTTTGACAATAACATAATACAAATTAGATAACTGAAATGAAAAGTGCTCTCTGATTGGTCCCATTATATACCTTCCATGTTATTCTTTTGCTGGTCAGTTGTATCACTATAACCCCACACCTGCCACCATGAGAAACACTAAATTATATTAATGTGACTTGTCTCGTATATATCACGAACTTGTGACACTTCACTGTGATGAATCATGTGATTAAATGTGAAAACTTAATGTTTCCCTCTCTTGGAACGTTTACGTCTCCGCTTCTTGCTCCCCAGGGTTCCACCTATAGGTTCCTCTGATGGAGTTGGGGACACAGGAGTAGTAGGAGGTTCCCCCTCCCCTTCTTCATCTTCACCATTTACTTCACCTTCACCTTCCTTCTCACTTTCAGGATTTGATAACTCCAATGATATAATCTTTTCTTTTAATGTCTCAACCTGGTATGAACAAAATGAAAACGAAAATTATTAAAATGGGTTACAAACTGAATGGGCAAATTTAAAATTTGAATTTAAACTGTGAACTTCTATGGGAACACATATTTTAAGACTTCAGCAACTGAAATCCTCAAAAACATTATTCACATATCTTCTGAATAACCTGACTCTGTGATATGAAGTTCTGCCAGTCATGACTACAAAGATTACTGCCTTCTGGGATGTAGCACCATGTAGTCTGATATATCTTACTGATGTTCTTCCAAAACACTGGTAAACATCTATCGATCACATCTCAGATGATGGAGTGCTTAAATCTGACTTATGTTTAGCAGTCACTAATTGTAAGTCAAATTGCAAGTCTACATGGACTGGATAAAAACATGAAAAATTTAAATGCATGACTTACTACAGTTCATCTCTTGCATTAATTTTATGTGCATAAAGCACCATACATAGAGGTACAGTTTATCAATTACATATACAAAAGCTTACGTTCATCTGTTGTTATTAACCCTTTCAATGTAAACTTGCACAATATATGCAATGCGTTACCCTACACATGTACTTGAATGACATGCATTGTTTATCTGAACGCCTACTCTACTATGGACAGTACTACATGAGTACAGTATCCATTCATTGTAACCAGGAAGGATTACTCTTTGCATCACTTCCTTTTCCTTGTTTTCTATTTTATGTAAGTACCTGTGGTAAAACAAAAGAAGGTGAAAACAGGACAGTTCATTTCCACCATAATACAGTGCAGGCACTTGTTCCATTGAACTGTAAGAGTCAAGGGGCCAGTGCTTAATAATCATGAGATTTACATGATTTAACTGCAAAATCGAAAACCTTATAATCAATATGTTTCTAAACAGCATGCAAATCTGCTCCTAAATGTTCAATGGGCAAAGCACAAGGAAATAACATATTTTTATCACACTGTGATTAACATCAGCTACAGCCCCCACTCCAAAAGTTATTCTGAATTTGAATTTAGATTGTATCAGCCCAGTATACCTTCTATTTTACGTAAGGCTCAAAACTGACTTTTTCCACTTTCTCAAAAGGGGCTCATTAACGCAAGAAACTGGTAGATGACAAAAAGTTCATTAATATATACAACTTTTACAAGACATGTTTTTGATGTGGTTAAGATCTACTGACCTCACACCTACCACAATAATGTCTGTTGCACAAGGGCTCAACATTCTGAGAATCTCTTTGTGCATATGAAATTGATATAAAATTCCTGAGCTACCCAAGATTTTAAATGAATGTTAACAAATTTATAAATCATAACAAACTCTTTTGTTAAGCATATTTTCCTAATCAGCCTAGACTATATTTTGTAGCTATGCTGAGAGAAAAGAATATTGGTAAGTGAAATTTCACATACTGTGGTCTTCTGGGTTATGACACTGTTCAGTCATGTAGATGGGTAACAATGCTCTGGATGAATGTACTGCATCCATTTTGAGGTTAAAACTGAGCCAAGCTGGTAAAGTGTCTGATTATATAAACATAGGGAAGATGAAACATGAAAATAGAATCTACTTGCCTGTTTTGTGCAAAATTAAGAAAAGAAACATTTAATGTATGAATACTGATATCTGTTAAGACCTTTTGAAATCAGTACTGACATTGGGCACATTATAGTGAATCAGTTCATAGGAAATAATTTACTCGCAGAATCTGAATTAGATGTAAATACACAGTGCGTACAGTTCCTACATAAAGGTAATATGTAAAGTTATGCATACACTCTAGGTTGAAGAAGGTGGTCAACTTAAGATACAGATGTCATTTGTCTTGAAAAACACGGGACATAAGACCAGGTGGACATGACACCTTTAAACTTTAAAGGAAAGAGACCCATGGAATGATCCAAAACACTAAGGTTCAGTCAGGTAGCAGATATCATCAACAACAGAAAAAAGTGATGCCAATAAATTAAAAGTAAAGATTATGGGAAGAAAGACGAGATCAGATCCATCAACTTGTACAAACTAAAAGTGATGCCCGAGATGACACTACACAGACTAGAAACAAAATCATGAAATATAAAACATACAATGTTATCATTTATATATAGAAAACTAACCCACCCTTGAGCATGACACATGGCTAATTTTTAAAACATAACATGACATGTGAATCTGACAACACATTGATTTTTTAAACCAACATTCTGGGAAAAGGCACAGGTAGTACTTCATTATTTAATTAGAGCTTCTAACAAGAGAATGTAGAAAATAATACTTTCATACATACTTTTCCAGCCAAACCTCTGGAACATTTCATGTATCATCTAGGGGCTTGTGAATCACAGTTTGGGAACCACTGTTCTAAGTGTTAGGAATATCATGCACTACCAACACTAATTACAGCAAACAAGTGCAGCATGCACTATCTATGATTCATGCTGACAGCCAGATGCTATGAATTGTGTTATGTACCTCTCGCTCAATCAGCTTTTCAACATACTCTATGGTGCGGACTTTCATTTCCCCTGTTTGCTCGTCTATGTACTCCTCTGTACGTTGTGTCACCGTTTCCCCAACAACCCTCTCCAACTCACGCACCTTAGTTGCGCCCTCTTTGGCACGCAGAGAGAGCTTTGGGAAATCATCACTAGAGGGCCGTAATGTGGTGCGTAACTACCGGGCAGACATGGGTATGGGCTGGTTAGTCATGGGGCTTTATGTATTAATGGTAACAAAATTAACTCTATCTACATATAATATTTTGTTAAATTCTGTTATCTGAGTGACCGACAACCTTACTCGTGTACAATACAATGTCTACAGAAGAATCCTACAACATACAGTACATATTTCTTATCCTCTGCTACAGACTGATCAGTTTCTACTGCACTACTTTGAATTTCATGAACACTGCTGGAAACTTAGAAAGTATACTCTCAAGTTTTGCTGCAAAATACCCACTCTTAAGACTGCGGTAGTTTTGGCATCTCTTAATATAGCAACAGCAATGTGTACTGTCTTGTGGGAAAATTCAGTTGTTACTTGGCTCCTCAACAAAACATCTTATAGTGAAGGACACCATGAAACAGACTGGTTAAAACAAATGACAGGATGAGTGGGACAGGGATTAACACTTGCACATATAAAACACAGTTTCACAAACCTTGAAAACATTTTAGAATGGAAATTTAGTATAAAAGAAAGTACATGCATGAAAAATCCACACACTGATAATCTGGAGCATGATTTAGTTGGGCACTTTCAAAATAACCTTCAGTCATAACATTTTATTACAAAAAAAAAAAAAGTTCAATATTATTGATGATCATATCCATATTGAAACAAATAAAGCAGTTTTGCTATAAGTTTGTGCATAGTGACTGGATGGATTGTGATGATGATATCTACCTAAAGATTTAACACTCAGTGACTTAATATTCTGCCTCAGACAGTGTTTACATAGGAACATAGGAACAGAATTATTAAATATTATTAAGATGAAGTTTCCTCTTTAAGATACTAATACTGGGATTACTTTCCTCATACACCCAAGATCTAAGCAGAGGCCACAGCTGCATTAGTGGCAGACTCTGAGTTCACAACACACCAAAATATCTGATATATAAATAAGATATGTGAGACATTTCTATCTCTCTCTTGCAATTCACATTCCTCTTACAAAATATAAAATCACATTTCACAACCATTTAAACCTTCATAGTAACAAAGTTTAAATGGTCAGTAACCCTCAATGGTCTAGAATTAAATGTCAGGATCAGTACTACAGGTGCATACACAATACACTGTTTGCTACCCACTGCAGTCAACATTGGGCCTTTAACATTTACACTGCTGAGCCCCTAATATTATGGGCATGGCTCAACATGGCAGCATTGCTGCACCTGTATTCTAATGGGTCCAATCTTTATAAACACATACCACCCAAACTAACTTTCTGAATGATTTCAAACTTGCTGGGCATATATTTAATCTATTGTGAACATAATGAACTACATGGCAGACCCCTTGCTGTATTTGTATGCCCCCCATAAAGGAATTTAGAAACTACTGCATCTATAAGCTGGAATATACTACTCCAAACGTCAGCTGGCCTTGGTTATCTGAGTGACAGTAAATGCATCTAGATCAACCACAACCACCTCCATCATGTAATGAAAAATTTAGTATGCACATACTACTAAAATTTCTATTGGATTTCCCTCTATTTTCATAAATAAGCATTACCAAATTATTTTAGCACAGGGGGATATGCTAAGCTTTATTTAACTAGAAGTGAAGGGTTAGACATTAAAACAAGATGAAAAGTATTATTTCATTTCCCTCAGTCTTTAATGTACAAGCCGGATGGTCGCGGGTTCAAGTCCCGATGGGGTCATTGGATTTTTTCAATTGACCTATTCCTTCCAGCTGCACTATGGCCCTGGGGTCAACTCAGCCTCTAACAGAAATGAGTATGAGGAATTAATTAAATAATTTTCCTGGGGAGTAAAGAGCGGCCGGCGTGTAAGGCTGACAACCTTACTGCCATCTTTGAGCCGATTGTCTAGATGGACACTCAACGTCTCACAACCCTATGAGCCTTCATGGCCTGTTACACGGATAGCTTTACTTTTACTTTACTCAGTCTTTAATGTCTCATGAAGAAAGAAAATAATACCAATTTTATAACCAATGAGTTGGTGTGTTCCCAGTTTCAGGGTGTGAAGCTCTATTTCACTTCATGATAATATGGAGCTAAAGACTGAAGGCTATCTTGAAACTTGATGCACATTCTCTACATCACTGTAGCAGAAAACTCATTAGCAACCACATACAACCATTAACACAATACACTCCAATTACCACAAATGCAATACAAACTAACAGAACTTAAAACAATATTTGTGTAAGAACAGATATTTTATGGGGAAATTCCCAAACTTAATCCTCATAGGAAGCACCATGGAGAGAACATAAACATAAGGATGCAGCAGTATCAATGTTTCATGAAATTACATGTTAGAATTAAACAAAGAAACATTTGGCAACATTCCGTTAAATCATTAGAATAATGGTGATAAGCTCAAAATGCTTACTCTGTAAATTGTTTAACTAGCATGTTCAATTTATGATTTCTGTGATTTATTGCACCAACAATGCTCTGTCAACTGCAAAATATACATGGCATCAAATAGTAGGACAACGAAATGTGAAAGATGGGAAGGAAGTGATCATGGTTATTTTTAAGGAACTAAGCCACCATGATTTCTAAGAGATTGAGCCAACACATGAAAAAACTTAGAATGGTTAGTTTTTGGGTCAAGATTCAAACCTGGACCTCTCACATACAAAGCCATGAGGTAACAATATATCTTAATGTTCAAAAGGTTTATGTAAGCAGGAAGAGTGTGTTCATGACATAAAACTGTGGATGACTCAGTTCGTTCTACATCCTTCCTTGCTGATGATCACATAATCATTCAATGCTCATAATTTATTTAGTTACTAGAAAGTGTCAAGTAGTACACCAAAAAAATAAACAACTCCAGTTCTGGTGCATTAACTGGGATTTGAACTTGGTACTTTACAAACATAAGTCAATTATCTTGCTAAGGTTTTCAGTGCATCAATGTTTATGATATAAGTGCCAACAATAATATTCAGTGTTTCATAAGCCTATGTTACCTTGGACAATCATAATGCATAAATTATGTAAATTAAAACATAAGCTCTTAGTAAATAAGATCTAAAAGTTTGGGACGATGGTCTATTGTTACAAGTATTATGTTTTCGGACATTATCCGTCTTGTCTATTTTCTAAAAACCATCCTGTTTCTTTTTAAAGAGACTGAATTCTGCCCCCATCCTCAGGTAAAACCTACTCAATGGGGTCCAACAGATAGAGCTAGTCCTTATCTCCGGACACCGGAGTCTCTGAAACACTGTGTTCTTAAAAAGAAACAGGATGGTTTTTATAAAACAGACAAGACGATTAATAATGTCCAAAAACATAATACTTATAAGCTTTTAGCTTTTGAACTTTATTTGGGGCTAGTATGATGGATCTAAGTAAAGTGGAGATTTCTACGTGTACAAAAAAATCAGTATTACCTAACGAGCCAATTCACTTTGATCACTCAATTACCTAACTTTTCTAAACAACAGTCTCATTCAAATGACAGAATTAGAAGTGAATAATGAATTTGAAAGGATGTGGAAGAATGAACCACGGCATAATCTGAGGTACTATCCTACTATCTGCCTGGAGAGACTGGGGAAAATCATGAAAGAACCTCAGTCAGGATAATTGGTCTCGGGACCAAGACTTTAATCCAGAACCTCCTTAACATAAAGCAGAAAGAACACCCAGTTGATGGTGACATTCAGCAAATATCAACCCCAAAGCACTGACACATACAGTCAATACTGGTAGAATTTATCACAATAACAAAAATATAAAGATATTGACAATGAATTGTACCCTTATTCAAATGAATCAGCTGACTAACATCATGTTAACATCGTTCTCCATCTGGTAAAGAGTAAAAAATTTAGAACACTGTCAACATAATAATAAAAATACTGTTTATTTATTTATATTTTATTTAATGGTGCTCTCAGTAGCTGAGAGTATACAGCATTAACTGAAATGATGGTAGTGAATCACAAATTGCAAAGGATGTGGAAGGAAGTGGTTATGGTCTAATTCAAGGTACCATCCCATCATTTGTATGGAGGGACTGAGAAAACCACAAAAAATTTAAGTCAGGATAGTCAATGTTCCTGCCAAGATTCGAACCAGGCATCTCATGAATAATACAAGTCAACAACACTACCAAATGAGGCAACTTGCTCAGTATCCTTAGTGAAAGTGGTGCATATGTTGGACCAATGTATTTCAAAATGAAACTGCTTGAGCCAATTTTCTTGGTAACAATACTATGTCTAGAGAATGAATTGTACACAGAAGAGTTACCTTCAACCTCTAATAACTGATGTATTGTCAATGTAGTTAAAGTTGTTCGGCCAAGATGGGTTGGGCATATTACAAGAAAGCATAGCATTGAGACTACTAGAAAATAACATTTAACCTTGCCAGCCATGCACTGCAATTTTCCAATACTAACACCATTACCCCCAAGCTAAAATATTACCACTAGCCCAGTAGGACTAGGAGACTTAAAATCCTTATTCCTGGACAAAAACTCCCAATTTAAAATCTGGTATTGAACTCTGTAGTACTGTAAGATTTAAAATTCCCTATGCCAAAATGATAAAGGTTAATAAAGGTAGAAGGCAAGAAGGCATGAAGAGACAGTAATTAAGGTATTTTTCAGATTGTGGTCTTCTGAGTTGTGACAATCTGTAGTTTTGTAAGTGAACACCAATGTTTCAGAGGAATGCATTGCTTCCTTCTTCAGGGTGGAAGCCAAGTAGGGTGAGGATGTGCTTCAGTCATACAGCCAAGCTGCAAGGAAGATGGTCCCTCTGATCTATAGAAAAGGCAGAGGAGACAGCACCAAGTCTTGGCCAATGGAAGTACTGATCAACAAATGTGAGAAAAAGCTGTGATAACCTCAACATTTATACACTATACAGTCTTGTGGCTGGTGCTTGATATGATGTAGAAAAGTTGGGAGTTAACTAACTGGAAGTAGAGGAACACACAGACTGCCATATTTGGAAGGCCTGGATTCAAAACCAGCTGTAACACCAAGAAGCAGATACAAATTTAACAGAAAACTTTTGTCTTCTTTGAGCATGCTTTTATAATATGAATATTCTGAACATTCATATCCAAAAGAGTTAAAATTATTTATAACTCATATATTCAAACAACTTTTATCTGCAGTTACTGAATGCAAGGAAAAAATACCCTATCATAACATTTTTACTTGCCTGTCCATTAACTCCCACCCCCATGATCGCCTCATGTATAAAATCTACAGCAAGAGTATAATATCAGAATATTATATTTAAGCATCCTGTTGCACTCCATACGATAAATGATATAACCTCCGTCTCAAGTGCAAACAATATATTCTTGTGTCTTTGATCTTGCTCCCTACACTACATGTTTCGGCCTCAGACGGCCATCATCAGGTGTATAACACTCACGTCGCTGTCACACTGCACCCAGTTCAAAATTTAACATCTAAAACACTCTCCCTGTCATTATCAACTTCTACTTCGTTGATAGCTGTCCACCCGTAGATTACTTCACACACGTTAATTTTGAGTTTATTGTAATAGCACCATAATAAAATCTTTAGTTCTAATTTTAAACTTTTAAANGCACTTCAAACACAGGGCGAATAACCCTAACAATTTTAAAATTTTAAAATTTGGACAAGAATTTAAAAGTTTAAAATTAGAACTAAAGATTTTATTATGGTGCTATTACAATAAACTCAAAATTAACGTGTGTGAAGTAATCTACGGGTGGACAGCTATCAACGAAGTAGAAGTTGATAATGACAGGGAGAGTGTTTTAGATGTTAAATTTTGAACTGGGTGCAGTGTGACAGCGACGTGAGTGTTATACACCTGATGATGGCCGTCTGAGGCCGAAACATGTAGTGTAGGGAGCAAGATCAAAGACACAAGAATATATTGTTTGCACTTGAGACGGAGGTTATATCATTTATCATAATATCAGAAACTTCCAATGTCAGTGCTGAGTTTATCCTGTTGTCAGGAAACATTTCATTAAATGTAAAATACACATTAAAACAAATTTTATCTCACCTCAATATTATTTTCTTTGTCTGGAATCGCACCATTGTTGTTGGACAAAGCAGTACCAATCCCTGTGTCCTGACTGCTTGATTTCGAATCAATCATTTCACTCATCTTCTTAATAACCATCTGTGCTTGCAATGCATCCTGCACACAAACATCAAACCAGTCAATCAGAAATGGAATGTCACAGTATTAAAAAACATGCTGATTATCATAAAAACTTCACTTGATAATCAAAGCTACTGTTAACAAGAGGCCTCTTGTGAGCCACAGGCACAGGTGGGATCCTGTGAACATAGAAATGAATGTTCTCTCAAGAAAGACTCAACTGCAGTTTGTTGCAAGTGAAGAGACTGTGACAGTGTGGACTGGATTAAAGTGGCTCAGGATATGGTCCACTGACAGGTCCTTTTGAACACTGTAATGAACTAGCATATTCTACAGGGTTCTGAAAACTGTGGATGACATTCAAGATTGCTGTTTTTGGATTTTGTCCACCATCCAGTAATACAAAGAACACTAAGAACATTTCAGAAATTGGATCTGTTTCCCTTCTCAGATGAAAAGGTGGGATACACTTATTCTGTCACACCATTAGAAAGAGCTAACCCAGTGACTGAGGTTAGCTCTCCTTAATGGACCCAACACATTAGATGTCTCTCACCCCCTCACCTGAGGACAGAAACAGATCCAGTTGCTGAAACACTGTGTTCTTCAGCGATCTTCAGAATATTGGATAACGGAGAAAGTCCAGAAAGTTAGTAATCCAGAATGGTAATGAACCATTTGTTGCATAAAACGTGGAGAAACATTCACGTATTCTAGCCCTCAGAGGTGAGTGGTCAGTTTCATGATTTTCTTGTTTCACTGTGGGGAAAAATTACCTGGAACCCTTTATACAAGACTGATTTAGCACGTGCTAATTTAGGAGCAGTGACAAAGAGAAGATGTATGCATAGCATTAATGATTATGGTATGCTGACCCAGTTTTGTTTAATCAAAAATTGTAAGACTTACAGAAAAGTATATTGGGCATAAAATGTACAATTCATTTTTCTCTACATCTTTTGGTCAAAATATATTTTGCTCCAATAAATACTCATAGAGTTACATGCTAGTCTTTATGCAAAGGCATACATTACTATCGCATGATTTTCATTAACTATGGGTCCTAGCATGCACAGTTTAAAGTTTTACAGTTTTACTCACCATGGAATCCAGTGGCAAACATTCATGTTTCTCTGTACAGCAGTGAATAAATGCATTCCACTCCAGCAGAGTTTACATAGCCATGCAACTTACTCTTTATTGAAGCCAGAGACAATGCCCCCAAATTGCCATAACAACTCAAACTGCTTCATGCTTTTCTTTTGATCTCACACTCACAAACCCCAATTTACAAGTTCACACATTAACACCAGAGGTCTGCAGAAGAGTCATGACTGGTGAGGAGCTGTATCCTTACCTGTTCCAGAGATTTCAGCCTTGCCTGTCTCCATGCTGCTCGCTTCTCTGCCTTGAGTGCCCTCTGCTCTGCTGGTGACAACTCTCTGTCATCGTCTTCATCCGTCAAGAGTCCCTAGACATGGAATCTGAATCAGAACCTCTCAACATAAACAGCGTTCACACAAGAAGCTTCATGGAAATCTTATCTTCACCGCTCACTGCCAGCCTAGAAGCTTAAGTGTTTAATGTCATGTGCGGGGTCAAACTGAGAAAAAGAAAACATACTATCTTTCTCAGTAACATGTTTTCATAGGTTACTGAACAACACTCTCAGTATTGACACTATATGCTGTCAGATGGTAGGATGACAGACAACTGATTACTTTGAAACAATGTGCAAGGATGTTGTCGTGACCTAACTGAGGTACTATCCCAGTACACAGGGTAGTTTTTATCTCATCAATACCACAGTGAAACTTTACTGTTTATATAATTCCAGGAGTTACCATGTTTATTTCTTTATTTAATGACAGCTGCTTAGCTGCGAAGTTACAAGGCATGGAATGGGAGGATGATTGCGAATGATGTATAGGAAGGCAGAGGAAGTGTTCTCAGATTATTTTAAATCTTCTGCTCTCCTATCCAAGGTGGGTTCTTTACTGATGCTTGGTCCAGCCCACCATATATGACCAAGGCTGTATAGTGACAAGTCATAACACAAGAAAATATTTTTCTTCCAGAATGCACTTTGGGCAAGTAGATTTTGGGTCTGGCCCACCAAATTTGACAAAAGCCTGTATAGTAACAAGTCATGATGCAACAAAATATTTTTCTTCCAGAATGCACTTTGAGCAAGCAGATTTTTCCTCTTTCAATAGCAGATGCATGTAACTAGCTTTTGCAATTCCTTAAGACATCTGTAGATCATCTGCTGTTCAGTTCTCTACCATGAAATACTGTATATTGACAGTGTACCGCAGAAAATGGATGAGCCGATTGCAGCCTGAACTGTACTTGACAGAGTCTGAAGAACCATTAAATGTCCCTACCAAGAAACCTAGCCTCTGGGCCATGAATGAAACCCATCCCCCCCCCCACCCCCAAGTGCAAAGCAGGGCTGCTACGTATAGCAGAACCCCATTTATTATTCCTCAATTTACAGTTTTCCCTCATATAAGGCTTGATTTCAATGATTCTAAGTCAATAAACCTCAATTTTTTATTTTCCTCAGTGCAGTGTTCAAATTCACTACTCCCCAGAGAAACCTTATACAGAGGTTTCACTGTACTCAACTGCAACATTTGCTACTTCAAAGTATGTTTGGCAGCACACTACAATACAGTAATTACTCCAGTCTGCCAAAGTGCCAGCCAAGGGCATGCCTATATGTCTGTTCACATGTTTTATCTTTAAACTACTCAAAAGATTTTAGTGGCTAGTGCATCATAGCCATTACTTTATATGAAACAAAAACTGACAAACATTGTTTTCAATTGTGTAATTTGTAATGATATTAAAGTCATGTCACAACTCGTGGACCCAGGAGTACCTGCACGGCAATGCTTACCTCCTGCTGCAGTTTCTCTTTCATTCTTCGTTCAGCCTTGGCTGTCCTCACGCTGCCCACACTCAGCAGGCCACTTGAGGGAGGCATGGCACTTGATCTGAAAAGGATAGCACATTAAGACATAGAATGTATTTTTTAACTCCTTCCTTGCCATCAAACTCAAATGAGTCAGTAAAGCAGGTTATAAATAGGTCTGCCAGGTAGCCATGTGTGAAGCTCAAAGGCTTATTTCCTGTAGCACAATTTCTCATGTGGCTGCCATAAAGGTAATGTTGTCCATATGCTTCATTAAGTACCATATTATGAAGATGTATGAGGGAGTGGAGCTGAAAAAAAAAAGGTAAATTTATCCCTGTAACAGGCCATGGAGGCCCATAGTGTTGAGCTAGTAGGATGTCGATGCTCCAAAATTTTCTAGACTATCGGCTCACAGATGATGGTGAGGTTGTCAGCTTTGTCATGAAACAAGACCTCGAGGAGGGTAATCTTGTGATGTCACTTTATTACTCAACGCCATAACTACAATTCAAGCAACTATAACACAAAATGTTGAACAAGTCATTTCACAGTCACTCCCTTTGTATTAACAACTCTCACTCTACTGTAGAATTGTTTTGCTCTCCGCACGGCTTTCACTGTCTTCTGTTGGTGCACACGGCACACTGGCTAGTCACACACTGTTCAGCTGACTTCTTATACTGTTCCCTGTTGTTCCTAGCAGCAGCAGCAGCAGCATCTGCTGTTATGTCACAGCGAGTTGGGGGGGGGGGAACAGAGTGTTTACTGGCTTGTTATCCTAGCAGCAGCGGTGGCTGCTATGCTGTTACATCACCACGGGGAATGGTTGCCTAAGACAGCTCCTCTGCTGTTATGTCACCACGGGCAACATTACTGGCAACGCGTGTGTTATTGCGTTGCATTGAGTCCATGATTCTCAACATCCTCTCCACCCTGGCCAAAACAAAGGAATGACCAGCTACAATGGACGACCGATTCTCATTGTGTTCATTTGTCATGTCCGTGCAAAGTTCTAGGTGTATGGTTTGTGTTTCCTTCCTTTCTCCAACCACTCATTCACTCTCTCTTTCTTACCAGTGGGGGCTATAACTCCAGTAGTGGCTGGGCTCCCCCATATCTGACTCTTACTCTGTATGCAGTCTCTCTTTTTCATTTCAGAGGTGGCCGACCCCTCCACAAGGTCAAATTTATCAATCTTCGTAATCCGACAGATGATCCAGCTGCAGTCTGAAAGCTTTTCTGATGAGCTTTAATTGATTGCTGCCGTGTAGCTATTGTGTCAGGCCTCGGCCCCTTATCCCATTGTTGCTTTCCGGGCCTTTCCAGTCTCTTCTCGAATGTCTGTCCTTCCGGGCTTCTTGGTGTGACATTGTTATTGTTCTGTCCATTATGTCTGTGTCCTGCACAGTGGGTAACCTTCATTACGGCTGCAGTCACTTCTTTCAGTGGGTCCAAGATTCTTGCGCCATGCTACTGTAGCATGGTGGTACACATTCCTGCAGACGGCACCCAATATCCTCTGAGGTACATGATTTTCCCATGTCGTCTCCATGCGGGCAATGGCCAACTTCTTTCAGCACCCATCCTTGCCCTGGGTCCATTCCTTTGGCATTCCTCACCACTCTGTAGCTAAGTTTTGGTCCCTATGCTGTTTCTTCTTCGGTCCTCTGACCGGCATCACTGTGGTGTCTTCTATGGGGACCTCTTCTTGTTGTGCCGCCTCAGGTTTCCTGTCCACTGAGATTGGCTTCTTCTCTTCTGGCTTTTCTATACGCATCCAATTTTGCCAGCATTTCTTCTTTGGCCTTTAGTTTCTCAACATGCTTCTTCAAATCCATCAAGAGCACTGAGTGCACTAATGGAGGCCGAAGGGTCCTCGAGGCAGAGGGCGCTTCTGCAAAGTTAGGCTTATCTCCTGTCAAGATGGGTCTGTTTTCCATCTCCCCCTTGGCCTTCAAAAGTGCTCGCTTGGCTGAGTCTTCAGAGACTTCCATGTCAGTTGTGTATTCACTGTCTTCTAAAAGATCCTGGATATCGTTATCCAACAAAAGTAGTTGATCCAGGGTCTTCCGCAGATGGTCTAGGTAGCACTCATAATCCTCAAGTGGGGTGCCGGTGGTACATTCTCTTATAAGTGTAGTGGCCCTTGTTGTTTTCGTCCTTGACGCGGAGCGCTTCCTCTTTAGCCTTCTGAGTTCGCTGTCCGCCATGTCGAGTTGTGAGGGTATCTCCAAGTACGATCTCACAAGCTAGTTGATCGTCAGTATGGGGTCTGTCGAAAGTCAGAAGTCACAAATATCAAGAGATCCAAGTCGAAGTCAGTGACCGTGGGCATGTCTGTTTTCTCCTTTCCCTTGAAGTCTAAATGTATCGTATGTATCCCTCTCCCTGGTTTCAGCATCAAAAATGTTGTGAAACAAGACCTCAAGGAGTGTCATCTTGTGATGTCACTTTATTACTCAATGCTGTAATTACAATTCAATTAACTATAACACAAAATGTTGAACAAGTTGTTTCACAGTCGCTCCTTTCGCATTAACAACTCTCACTATATGGTAGAACCGTTCTGCCCTCAGCGTGGCTTCCACTGTATTCTGTCGGTGCACACTGCACACTGGCTGGTCACACGCTGTTCAGCTAGCTTCTTATACTGTTCCCTGTTGCCCCAAGCGGCAGCAGCACCCGCTATTATGTCACAGCAGGGGGGGGGGCAGAGTGTTTACTGACCTGTTACCTAGCAGTGGCAGCGGCTCCTATGCTGTTACATCACTGCGGGGAATGGTTGCCTAACACAGATCCTCTGATATTATGTCACCACAGGCAATATTATTGGCAACGCGTGTGTTATCGCGTCACGCTGAGTCCATGATTCTCAACAAGCCTTACATACTGGCCGCCCTCTAGCCCCAAGGAAGATTCCTGGTACTCACTTCTGTTAGAGGCTCAGTCGATCCCAGGGCCATATCGTGGCTGGAAGGATTAGGTAAACTGAAAAAATTCAATGACCTCATCCAGATTCAAACCTGCAACCTTCTGGCTTGTAGCATAGTGCCTCAACCAACTATGCTACCACATGCCCCTGGAGATATAACTCAATGCATTCTTAACATCAGTAATGAAAAAAGTTAAGTTCCCACCCTGGCTGCTTTACCCTTGAGGAAAGAGCCAATTGTACCCATCTGACAGGAGACTGGGTGGGTCCCAGAGCAGATCTGGACACAGTAGTGCTGGCAAAAATCTCTGCTTCCACTGGGACCCAAACTCCGCTCAACTGTCGTTGTCCAGCCCATATAGCCCAGTATAGTGTTGACTGAGCCAAATCATTATATTTACATTTCTTAATTAGTTACTCAGTTCAGAAGAGTCTAAATTACAGAGAGATATTGTCTAGCGTGGTCACTTTGAAAAAGCCTCTGTGATCTTATTTTCAATTTTAACTTTCTTGTACGTGAAAAATTTCTATACTTTAAAAGAAGCATTAGCCATTCCCTATCAATTCATTATCTTCCCATGTTGACACAGAAAAGTGACAGAGTTTACAGCTGTAGAGAGTATGACTTACTGACTGACTGACTGACTGACCTGGTACAGTATGAGACTACTAGATGCAACAGGGAGGGAAACCTATTGCATTCAGTAAGCAGACTAACATAATCTAGAACAGGAATATATTAACTAATTCACTTACTCTATGGAGCTAAGTCCTTCTTGAGAACTTAATTGCTACTCAGCTAGCAGATATTCTCAGAAATTTATGAAACCTGAAGGCTTATTACCTTGTTCATAAGGGCTTGCCATTTGTTCCCATCCAGAGGCAGATGAATCCAGTCCATATCCTCCTATCCTATTTCTTTACAACAAATATTTGATGGTATCCTCTGTTCTAAGCCTAGATCTTCAAAGTGGTCTCTTTTCTTTCAGATCTGTCTGAATGCATTTCTCATCTCTCCCATGCATGCTACATGTCCACCCACCTCATTCTCCTTCTCTGATCATCCTACTATTTGCTGATGGTTATGAGGTATGAAGTTTCTTATTATGCAGTTCTCCTGAAGTCTCCTGTCACTTCTGCCCTCCAAGGTCCAAACATCTTCCTGTACCGTTCTCAAACGCTCTCAGTCCATGCTTTTTCCATCACGTGAGAGGCCGAGTTTTACAACCATATACAACAACAGGCAGATGTATGCGGTAGCATAGTTGGTTGAGGCACCATGTTACAAGCTGGAAGGTCACGCGTTCGAGTCCTAATAAGGTGGATTTTTTAATTTATTTAATCCTTCCAGCCGCACTAGGGCCCTGGAGTTGACTCAGCCTCTAATAGAAATGAATAGACCTTAAAACCATCCGTGAGCCGACTGTCTAGAAAATGTGGAAGCTTCAACATCTCACAACCCTATGGGCCTCCACGGTCTGTTACAGGAATAGCTTTACCTATTCTTTTTACAACAGGCAGAATTATAGTTCTGCATATTTAATCTTTAAACACAGAGCAGCAACGGGCATTTAAATGCACACCAGCAGCAGGCATTTAAATAAACTCCGGCCAACTCAAGCTTAGTGATTTCTGTGTGTACATCTTTTTAAAGGTTAAAATCCTAGATAGCAGACTGCAAGAGAAATGTATCTGAACTGAATGGTACCTCTTCATTATTTCATGAATGCAATTATGATTTGTTCCTTCCCAAACACATGAATTATTGACAATAAAAATTACTGTTCTTGTTGCTGTTATTACATGTTGCTTTTTTTTTGTGATTTCTGTGTGTACATCTTTGTTTTGTCTCTTTAATCATGCATACTTGATAACTGGTATTTGGAGTGCCGAGTAAGCATATAAATAAATAAAGAATTTAACACAACTGAATTATTGCAGAAAATTTTATTTCCTTTCCATGAATGAGCAAAGAATAAACTGTTCTTAGAACTTTCGTGCAGAAGAAACATGAGAACATAACATTCCAGCATGGGAAGACAGGAAGAGAATTCTGACTTTAATACACATTGCACTGCTGAAACCTGAAGCATATTCTGTTTTTAATGCTTGATGCATCATTGCACTGGCTATAAGAGGAATAAAATCATAATGTGTACTATTTTTAGAATTCCAAAGCTTACGTATGCGTGTGATTCTTGCTGTCCTCATCATCTTCCTCAGCTTCATCTAAATGTGTCCAGTTCTTGAGCTCGTCTTTCGAAAGAGCAGCAATTTTCTTCTCTGAAAGCAATAAGAAACATGGATTACTTGTGATATGGGTATGAAGGATATTAAATAAAAAGGAACTTTATGATTTATACAAGTCAGCTAGTAGTGAAATTGTGAAGGTTAAAATATGCTGGACAGGTAGGTCAGATGGAACAATCGAGAAGATATATATAAAACAGTTTGGTCAAGAACTAACTTAAAAAGTGTTCACTTGTAATATGAAGAAAGGGATGGCAGAATGTTGCTAAAATATATCTTAAAGAAATATCAGATGATGAAAAATTAATTTAACTGGCTCATGACCAGGGTTCAACTTCCAAACTATGACAATAATGAGTAAGTTATTATGGAGAGGTAGGATTCCACATCTAGAGGTCCTACAGAATGATTATGTTTGTTTTTCTGATTCCAGTTATATTATCAACTGAACATAAGTACACAAAAGTAGCATACAGTTAGAACTACGCCTGAAAGGAAATTTGTTATATACTAACCATGCTAAAATCTGGTATACACAAGATTTCTGGAACAAATATCCAGCATTCTTCAAAACAGTACAAACGACACAGCACGCACGTAAACTACACGACTAACAATAAGGTAAGGCCTAGCTAGACACTTTAATAAACCTAAAAGCATTATATATAACCATTCATTCATCAGTAATCTCTCAGAGCTTTCTCCTTCAAATGAGAATAAGAATATCCTCTTCTGTCCCCAAGGTCATCCAGCATCTTCTTACATCTTCTGGTTCGCATACATGGAAAGAGACTATCCAGGAAAAGTGATAATGTGGTAGTTTCTCCATTTGCTTTCCACATCGCAGTACAACAGCTGTTCAAACCACTCTGGTCACGCCTGTTGCTATACGAACTTGAACCATCTCAAGCATCATTTGCTCTGTGCTTCAAGTCACTGATGATGACGCTGCTTCCGGCATCAGTTTTTGGTTTCTGGTGTCTCTCTTCATCTGATGCCTACCTTTTGACTATAACTATAACTATATAAGATAGAATAAAATTAAAAAATTAATATAATAATATATTTACAGAACATACATTCAAGAGAAATAAACCACATCTTCCACCATCAGGAGGAAAACAACATGACCCAATGTTGGCTCACGACATTTTAACATAATAACTAATTTTTTACATACAAAAGAAATTTTAATACAATTTTAAATGCACTGGGAGGCTACTGTATGGAAAAGTGAACATCATATCACGGCAGTGGGAAATCCCAATCAGAACACCCAGCAAATATGCTTAAAAGAAACAGCATCATACGTAAATCTACACATCAACAAGTGTCATAGTGAATGCTTAAGGCAAACATCAAAACTAACTGTGATATAACAAAAAATGTATATAGTGAGCATTATTCATAGCTTAAGTGCATATTGTTAAAACATCTTATGTGACAGTGTTTCCTGATCATAGTGGTGTGCCTCTGAGGATGATTCTTTTGAATCAAAACAAGTAAGGTGAATAAAGACTGAAGTGTTGTAAACTTGTATGTCACACTAGACTGAAAATTATCCACTTTGTAATTAACAGTGTGATGGACCAAAATGAGACAAATCAAAAAATCCAGTGAACAATTACACATATAAAAAAGACCCTGAGAGCTATGCCAGCAGTAGTGCAGCTACTGGTAGGGTAACCCATGCCAGACAGATCAAGGGGTAGGAGCCAGACGGATACCCTGGTCCTCCAGGTAGGGGGATGGGCATGAAGCTAACAACCTCACGCTGTAAAAACTAAATTATTCAGAAACCAGATAATCAGCCTCAGACGGAGGGAAGAATGGAGGCCAAAGCTCACCCCAACCTGTAGCTCTGAGAGGAAGGGAGGAAGAAAATAATTTACAGAGCTAGTAGAGAGAAATTAAATCTGCTCATAGAAAAACTTTACAGCTGTAGACAACATACAAAAATTTGTAGAACATAGTGGTAAGGAAAAATGAAAGGGTGTCCACTTCTGGTGAGTAAAGACAAGTTGTAGAAGAGTATACATATGGCAAGAGAACAGACATATTTGTTGCAAAATATTTCCTTTCAATAAAAACATGCAAATGTGATACAGCCATGAATAGCTAGGCAACAATCCTCAGAAACGAGTCAAGGTTCAGTACATAAGTTACACCAAAGGAGGGAAGTAATTACCTTCCTCTTGCTTCATGCGTTCCACTTCATCTTGACTTAGGAAGCTGAAAACCTTTTCTGCAAGAAATGATGCAAAAATTAATTTCCTACAAAAGAAACGTCTTTCTATTTGTTAAATTGTTAAGTACTGTTACAACCGAGATGCCCATATTTTTAAATTTGATTAAACTGATAACACTGTGAGTCCACATACTCTAATGGACAAAATGAGCTGGTTATTGTGTTCATTTTGGGAAAATTTCAAAAGTAGATACTAATATAAATTATGTCACATGAAAAAAAAAAGGCACCACCATGATAAACTTCTACCATGATTATGTAAATAAGAGAAAACAACTACTTTCTTCTTCCAATTTTAAACATTTATTTTCGTTTCCAGACCCATTTCCCCCCATGTCTGTGTTTTGTATAATTCTGTATGATTTGCTGCTGCAGACTGTTCATTGTTCTAAACATTGGGCAGTTAACTTTTATTAAGTGTGTGTAATCATTACTGGAGCAACTATGTAGACTACCAGACTAAACCATCCAGGCAAATAAACTATCAAAAGTAAATAATCCATTTAAAGTAATGTTATATTTTAGCGTCCTGTTGCACTGATTCACGTCCATGAAGTGAGTATTGACCGTCTTCTAGTGCATACAATCTCACTTGTCACTTCAGCACATGTTTCGGCATCACTGTGCCATCCTCAGGTGTGTTATTTACGTTAAACTATTGCACTGCTCGCCATCATGTGTCGTTTATAAAATGATTTAAAATGTATAATCATTATGTACTACAATACAGCAATACAACGCACGCAGCCACAAGAGAAGGACACATCATAAGACGCAGTACACACAAAATATACGAAGAACAACTCCCATAGAGGAAGACTGATATAATATGCGAGTTTGAAATACAACGTATAAGATGATAAGTCTTAACAAATTTTTAATACATAAATTTTATTATAGTACGTGACGATTATACATTTTAAACCATGTTATAAAGGACACATGATGGCGAGCAGTGCAATAGTTTAATGTAAATAACACACCTGAGGATGGCACAGTGATGCCGAAACATGTAGTGAAGTGACAAGTGAGACTGTGTGCACTAGAAGACGGTCAATACACACACATCATGGACATTTAAAGTAATGAGCTAATTATATAATCTAACCAAGCAAGCAACTACATTAGCTAAATACAACTAAACCAGCTAAATAAATAAACAAATAAATTGGCATTCAACAGCATGAATAGTAAAGACCACCATCGAACATGATTGCAAGTCAGCTCAATCCAGCTCACATTCTCATTAGCTGCTGAGAAGTATTTCCTTAAAATAAATTTCAATATTTCCCTTCCATCCCCTTCCCAGTCCTTCAAGTGACAATTCTCTGAGAGGTTAACTTGAATCAGTAACTACAAATTTGTAATAATTTTCCTGAAAGGTACTCATGTGGGGAATATCTTTGGACACACATCTTTATTTCTTCTTCCCTTCCTTCACTCTTCTCTGTTTCACCAAACCCCATAACAAACATACAGCATGACAAACAGACAAATAATAGATTCTGTTACATACATATTCTTGTGCTACTAGATGTAGTTAGTTAGTTATTAGAGAGGGTGGGTTTCCCCATGCACTTAGACCAGTATTGGTCCATCGTGCTTCCCTCTATGATATTCTACCAGTCTCTATACCCTACCGATAAATGGTGCGTACCATCAGTCCCGCCGAGCAAGAGAGTTCGGCCACTTGCTTAGCAGTGTCTATAATGCTTCCCCCATCTATCAGAGGCCTTAGAGACTATTGTTGGGCGGGAAACGTCCTGGAATTTGGCTCAGTGATCCCCTTTGGGGATATGAGGTTCTTTTACATGCCGTAAAGTTATGACACGGGACACACAGCTTAAAGTCCCTCCCGGAGGACTTGTTCCCTGAATTTTTCCGCCTTTAAAAATTCGACGACCTCCGCCGGGTATTTGAACCCGCGTACCACGAGTTATGAGGTGGGAACGTTACCTCTAGACTACGGAGGCCGCTTGCTACTAGATGTAAGTGCACTTTCATAAGTCCTACCTGGCTTAGGAGAAGGCTGATGCTGCTCTTCCATGGCCTTCTCAAAAAACTTCATTTTGTCACTCACCGACATCTTCTTTACCACTTCAACATTGTTCACACCCTGAATAAAGATACATCAGATCAGAGCTCTACATGCATACACCAGGCCAATTATATAAGATGTATGATCTTCATGGCAATAATTGTTCAGACTGTGGTCTTCTGGGTTATGACACTGTGTAGTCTTGTTCATAGATACCAATATTTCAGAGAAACATGCTGCTTCTTTTTTCAGCATTGAAGCACACAACGACGGAGAACCAGTTGGGTTATATATGTAGGTACTAAGGAAGGTGCTCATCTGGCTCTGTGAGAGGGGGGTGAGGAGTCAGAACCTAGTCTGGCCCTTTTCAGGACCAAAATATCTTTTCATCACAGGAGGGAAATGGAACTGTAGGAAAAGATGACCCTTTTCAGAGTTATAATACTTTCAATACAAGAGAAAGGTATAACTGAGAGGAAAGACATTTGTGGGTCCCTACAAGCAGGAACTGGAAGTGAGAAAACAACCTTATTTTCAAAGACACTCCTCCACCTGGGCCATGGGGGGGGGGGATTGTTCTTGCTCAGAATTCAGTTGCCCTCCTGTGATGAAATATTGTATCCCCAAAAATGGTTCCTTATCACACTGAGGACATGGAATGGGTCGCTTTCCTGTTTGCTGTTCCTATTGGCCTGGAATGAGTTCTACTTTCTCTCCCCCGCCCATGGATCTGATGACCACCTTTCTTCCAACCTAGCTATATAATTCTAAATTCCTCACCCTACACACTTCATTCAACACTGAAGATGGAGGAAATGCTCTCAAAGAACGTTAAAATTCACCTATAACACTACATGGTATCACAACTCAGAAGACCAAAACCGAAACAATGACAATTTTTAGCCTACCTTATTTTGTAAAAATAAAAATAGGCTTATGAGATCACCTTGCTGTCTGTGTGTCCGCATATGTCCTCCCTCCTCTTTTCAAGTTTTGAATACCTGAACTTATCTTTATAAAACTTAGTCTGTATATCATGGAACGTAAGCCAACCTCAACAGCATACATCATAAATCCCTCCCAACAGTCTTTGTGCCCACAGGTGTATCCCCTTTATTGTTGCTAGACAACGGCTTAATAAACATATTTGCGCAGAAACAAATACATGAAGCAATAAAAGAATCGTTGGACACATCATTTTCTATGTGGCCCATTTCTTATCAAAGGAGTCTGTGTATCCCTTATTGTCGCCTGACAACAGCTTGGTAAATACACTCCTGTAGCAAAGAAAAATTGTTGGAAGTGCTGTTTTCTTGGCGGTCCATGTCCTGTCAAAGGAGAGCAGGCCGTCAGTCCTTCCCAGAACTTCCTGTTATTTAATAAGGTTGGCCATATGCCTACACACAATGCTATGACTGTGCATAGGGATGTGGTGATATCCAAAATATCTTGACTTTGAAATTAAAGGGGTTCAGTGTCATGTTCTGGTCACTTTAACCTTGGTAAAGAGCCCTTCAACACAAAGGATATGATGCTGGGTTGGCCCCAGAGCCATTTGGGATACAGTAGTTGGCAGAAACATTCAGACACCACTGCTGGAGGTCAAATTATGGTCATTCAGCCCACAGTCTGACAATTCTCTGACTGAGCAGCCACAGACCACATAATAATTGAAAAAATTATATGCAATAAAAATGTCAGTATGTTATAAAATATTGCAAGCCAGTTGCCTTTCTATACTTCAGCTGTCACCCTGTATAAATCAGGAGTTATGTCACTTTCCATCACACGTCTCTGATTCTTGTATGAACCATTTCCTTGTTACCCTCAAAAACAAATAACGAGATGGGAACAACTGTACTCTATGATGTAGTATACAATACACCAAAACAATCCTGTTGCAGTCTAGCTGAGCTCAACTGAAGCCACTTAGAAATGGTATTTCATCAAAACACAAAATGTGGTTGATGAAATTAATAAGATTCCTACAAATATTACTCGTATGTTTCTGGACACTATCCATCATCCTGCTTTTATTTAAAAGCACAATGTATTTTTGGAGACTGAATTCTGTCTCCATCTCCTACCTACTCATTTGGGCCCTATTGATAGAGATAGTCCCTAGCTCTGGACACCTGTACCAACACAAGATATGGTATACAAGCCAAGCACAGCAAAAACCACCTGTGAGAGCTAAGACAAAACATTTAACTATTAAAAACTCCATACATATCAGGCCTTGCACCACAGAACTATCAGAACAGAAGTCATCCCTAGGGAGACAAATTCCCAATATGGCGAAGTTGTCCCCGTGCTTAACTAAATAAGCACTACGCCATGAAGGCATATGGGAGAGTGGATTCCCCATATGGTACTGACACAAGAAACATAAATTTTCTCACTCAGTCTACACTGGATGGAGATGCAGTTTGTTTACTTCTGATGTGATAATGGCAGTCCAGATGGGACAGACGTCCAAGCTGGGTTGATTGACCACACGGTCTATCAGAGACATGTGGGCAGATTCCTTTATTTCCTGTATGTGGTGTTTGGTTCAATCTGCAATCTTGCACATGGTTTGTGCTGTGCTTGGCTTGTATACCAGATCTTGTGTTGAGCCCCATCAATTGGCTCAACTGAGTAGATTTTACCTGAAGATGGAGATAGAATCCAGTCTATGAAACATTCTTTGAAAATAAAAACAGGGCAGTGTTTTAGATAAAAATCAGATGATGGATAATGTCCAGAAACATAATATATGTATAAATGTACCATCATCACAAACTTTTTTATAAAATCCCTATTTCAACAGCATAACAAAGCATGTAAAACAGTTGTGGCACACATGAAGTCCATTAATGACTTTATGTAGAGCAGGGTTTGTAATCGATCAATATGGCTAGAATTGAAATGGCTACCTGAAGTTACAGACAAATCTCATAAAATTTCACTAAAATTTGATTAACAGTTTATCTTATACATGAAAAGTTCCTTTATGACCTCATGTGAAGCAGGTTTTGTAGTCAGTTAACATGCCTTCAAAGAGTTTTCACTCAAGCCCATGAACAAAAGTCTCTTACTGGGTTTCCTTTGGACAGTGTGTACAAGGTGAAGAGTTTTGCTGCTCTTGTAATTGATGACACAGTTGAATGTGTGCTCACATCTTTCTAACAGCAGCAAGAATGATACAACAGTTTAAACACTAGGTAAAAATAACACATATCAAGATGTTTTAATCTACATTTGGAAGCTAGCAAGGACTACAAAGTTAACAGTGTGCAGCCTCCCCCACAAAACACCATTATTTTAAAATACAATAACATAGCTCTCTAGAACTATGTTTTCAGTGTCAGCTGCATACTAAGATTAAAAATTTGCCAACAGATGGACGCTGATCCTGTGAAACAGTGATAAGAGCCTAATTCATCAAAAACTACAACCTTGAGAATTTAGTTGTGATCAACAAAGTCGAAGGCAAAAAATACTGAAAAAGCCAAAGAAAGTCAAGTTTGACAAATATGTCAGGCAGATCTGAATTTTTTTTTTCCTTGGCACTACAGCCCCAGTGGGCCTAGGCCTACCTCCATGAACCTCTCCGTTCACTTCGGTTTTTCTAGATCTTACACATTCGGTAGCACTCCTTGGGCGGGTGATCAGCTCGTCGCAAGGCCTCTACCTGTACACAAACACAGAAAAACGCACACACACAAACTAAACATCCATGCCCTGAGTAGGATTTGAACCCACGATCCCGGTTTCCAAGCGAACAAAGACAGTATATGCCGGCAGATCTGAATGTAATTTGGTTATTATGAGTATTATTAACATGTAATATACAAGTTCACCAGTAAGGAATTACATACATTAACCAAGTACATATTATTCATAACTGCCAATTAATCACTATTATCATAATATATACATTAATATACACAGAGATACCTACCAATACACTAAACCCTAAATACTGAATTATCACATTTACTAATACTTCAAACTTCTCTGGCTTCAAGTACTTAAAGTACTTAACTCCTATCCTGTGTCCTTTCGAATCTAATCAAGTTAAAGGAAATGTTTCCTTGCCAATACAGAACAGAATCATTAGAAGAGAAGTGCACTGCAGTATACTATGCATACAAGTCACATTCTTAAAACAGTCATAACCGTGTTACATGCAGAGCACACATCAATGCAAATGAACTGTACATCTATGGAAATATCAACTGAGAGTTGATGGAGTTTCAAGTGCCTTACTCTAGAATATTTGTGGTCTTGATAAAAAATTTTTTGGTAGTAACAATTGGCCTGACAGCATGAAGCTTATAAAATGAGAAGACCAAAACTGAAAGGGAATGTTGCAAGAAGTGTGTAGCTCCAAAATCAATATCAGAACCACTTACTGTCACATTTTCATTGAATGAATCACACTGGTGGTACTGATAGAAAAAGTACGTGAATCCAGTTACATTACAATTAAGTTCTCATAGTGGTGATTATAAAGGGTCATGGGATGTGATGCCATGCAGTCTCACAGAAGTTTATTGACATTTTGGAAGAAGATACAGCTTCCAGCTAAAGGTTCAGAGTAAGAGAAGAAAGCAACAAACAAGAAGCAAGCAGAATGCAGAGTGATCTTTGTTTGCTGCTTGCTTGGTTTACTCCTTGACAGTGAAGATGGATGCAGTGCATTCCCCTGAAACATTGGTATGGTTCTACACAATGTCACATCCCAGAGGATTGTATATGAGGCTATTTGGAAAGTAACCTACAGTGAGCTATGAACAAAACAAGCATTGCCACCCCCTCAAACCAACTCTCTCTCTCTCTCTCTCTCTATATATATATATATATATATNCTCCTCACTATTGCTGAAGTGCTGTGATCACAATCAGTTCTTAAGGTAGGTAAACAGGTGGTACTCGCTTGGACCAAGATCAGGGCTGGTCAAACAACTCCCAGTTGAAATGTTCCAGTAGTGCTCATGTGCAAGCAGCTGTTTGTGGACACCCACTGTCATGGAGGAGCACTACACCAGATGTCAGTATTCCATGTCCATTGTCCCAATGGCCCTATGCAGTTCTTCAGTGTCTTGAAATATACTTTTGACATAGTTGTGGTCCCTTGCTGCATGAATTCGGCCATCAGCACTCCTTTCCCATCCCAGAAAACAGTTGCCATCAGCCTTCTGGCAGACAATGTTTGTTTAAACTTTTCTGACTTGTTTGATGAATCTGTGTGCATCCACTGTATGACCGCTCTTTTGTTTCAACATTCACAAATGAAACCAAGATTTCATCACCTGTTACAATGTGACTGAGAAATTCATCGCCATCTTTGTAGTATTGCTATAAAAAAGTCAAAGCCAAAGCCATTCTCTGCATTTTGTGTGCATCTGTGAGCATTTTTTGAGCCCATTTTGCAAAACATTTGTGACAGCCTAGCCTAACTATGATACACTTGTAAAGAATAGTGCACAAAATCTGTGGAAACTCACATGAAAGGTCTTAAATTGTGAAGTGCTGTCTTTCACAAAATTTTTGGTTAACACTCTGAAGATGAACATTGCTCATTACAGATGGCCAACCACTTAGCTCTTCATTGTGAACATGTGTTTGCCCACCTTTGAACATCCTACACCACTGTCTTACAGTTCCTTCACACATTACAATTTCACCATAAATTGCTCATTATTCACTTTGGATTTCCGCAGCACTTGTGTTTTTAGCACGAAGAAAGTAGACAACAGTGAGAATTTCACAGCTGGTGGAATTATTAATCACAGGACACATCATAACTCACTCTGTAGAGACAAGAACAAACACTAAGTGAACAGTCATGTGACTTTGCCTTGAATGCATGAGCTCTCACCCGCTTCTACATTAGTTGCCTAAAATAAATGAAGGTTACTTTCCAAATGACTCTCATATAACACCTACAAACACACTGATATATTGGGTTTTTGGACTTTATCCATCGTCCTGGTTTTTAAGATAACTAATAAAAACACGTTTCGGAAACGTCGTCCAGTGGTCCAGTGGTCACTGGTCCAGTGATTGAGGCTAGCTCTTTCTAACGGACCCAACAGAATAGGTGTTTTCCTTCACCTGAGGACGGAAACAGATCCAGTTTCCGAAATGTTGTGTTTTTATTAGTTATCTTAAAAACCAGGACGATGGATAAAGTCCAAAAACCCAATATATCAGTGTGTTATACACCATCGTCAGAATCCTATAGGAACTACCTACAAACACAGTTTCAACATAGATTTACATGAAGTATGTTTCACACCACTTATGCTTACTTTTGTACCAAATCCCACAATACACAACATGGGAAAGACAGTATTCCTTCACCTCACATCACCATTCCATGCCCATACCATGTTACACCAAATCCTCAAAGAACAAGGTAAGAAATATTACACCTTAAATAAAATTATTTCGTCTGTTCTTATAAACCCACCTCCATCAGATCGATCTTCTTTCCAGAAAGTCGAGCATTTGGTTTGCGGCTGCGAGCAATGGGATCCAACAAGTCATCAGTGGAGGAATAAGGATCTTCCTCATCATGTACGCCAGTGGAGGGTGGAAGGGGGGAATATTGGCTATACAAAGTGTGCAATGGGGGTTCTTCAGTGAAAGAAGTTGAACTGGTGAGTGGGAGGGCAGAATATTGACTATACAGTGTGCGTGTTCGGGAGTGTACAGGTCCTTTCGTGGATGATGTGGCACTGGAGGGGGGGAGGGCGGAATGTTGGTTATGAAGAGTGTGTGATGTCGGTGGTATGGTTGCTTCAGTGGAGGGCAGGACAGCAGAATACTGGTTACACAGAGAACGTGATGGGGCTGATATGTTTCCTTCAGTGAAGGAAGTGGAAGTGGTGGAAGTGGAAGTGGAAGGTGGGATGCTGGAATATTGGCTATACAAAGTGTGTGATGAGGGTGATATGGCTTCTTCAGTGAAATACGATGCAGTGGAGGGTGGGAAGGTGGTGGAATATTGTTTGTACTGAGTCTGTGGGGAGGGCTGTACAGCCTGTTCGGAGGATGAATTGAAAGTCACTGAAGAAAGTGGTTGTGGAAGAGATCCCACAGCACTGTAACCAGTGTGCAGGCTGTTCACTGGATTATTTTTATTTTCTGCATCAGTGTGGGCTGTAATTGTGGAATAATTGAGAAGAGAAATGGGAGGAGGGAGTGGGGCTGTCTGAGGTAAAGGAGGGATACTATAGTTTGGAACCTGAACAGTGTAGTGAACTGTTGCAGGAACAGCAGTGGAATAGGAGCCTTGATTTATAAAGGTAGAGTGCATGGGATGTGCTGCAGGCAAAGCACTAGACTGCACTGAATGTGTCACAGTACCATCCAGTGCTGAAGCATATACAGGTACAGAGGAATGGGTAGTTGCAGATGGAGTGTTTTCTGTTTTGGCTACTGCGTGGGATAGAGAAGCTTGTGTTTTGGGTATACTCGCTTGCAAAGGCAATGTTGCATTCTGTTTGGATGCTGTCAAGTTAGCTTGATTTGGAGACGTGCGAGGAAGCGTAGTAGAGACGCCAGCAAGGGGGTTGGCCCCACCAGAAACAGGCTGCATGGCAAACCAGTGACAAAGAAAAAAAAAAGGTAAATCATTAGTTTCAAAAGAATTAAAAAAGTAGGCATTCATAAGACTGATATCATAAGAGAACCAAGTTACCCACTATGAAACTCTACATGTAAAAGAATAAATTAATTCAAATACATACTGTAAAATGAAGGAAGATAAAGGAACACCAAAATGATGAAAATACTCTTGTACCCACATTCAGAATTTTGAATTTTGGCATAATTAACTTTGGCAACCACTGTGACAAGCAGCTGATGGAATGTGATTTCACAAATGCCAAATGGATCACATTTTTGAGGTTCACATGACATGCCACCTGGTACTGTTTCAATTTATTTTGTCTGCATTTCAGATTCAAAGATACAGCCCACTACTTGACTGAAATGTTTTTTATGCCATTCACACTTGAATGAAGGTCCAGGAGACATTAAAGGTTCAACCTCTATTTATGAAGTTTGTCTGATGAAGGCATCCACATGGAAACAAAAAAACGCCTCAGTAAGATTTGAGATTTTCACGGACGTGACTATGAAAAAAGCGGTCTTCTGGGAAGTGGCACCATGTAGATATTGTGTTAACCGATGTTTCGCAGGAACGTATCGCCTCCATCTTCAGGGTAGAAGAAAAAATAAGAAAATCCGCAAGCAAAGAACCAGCGTGACCAGGTGTAAATAGACTGGAATGTATAGCCTCTATCTTCAGGGCACAAGAGGAAAATCCGCAAGCGAAGAGCCAGCATGAGCAGGTGTAAAGAGACTGAACGTATCGCTTCCATCTTCAGGGTAGAAGAAAAGCGAAGAAAATATCTATTTGCACCTGCTCATGCTGGTTCTTCACTTGCAGATTTTTTCTTTTTTCTTCTACCCTGAAAATGGAGCCGATACTTTCCCCTGAAATGTCGGTTAACACATCTACATGGCGCCATATCCCAGAAGACTGCTTTCTCAACCGCCCCCCCAAAAAACCCCTCAATTTCCTTCTTTTTATTTGCCATTTTAACAGTAACAACAATTCCTTTATCTCCTCTTAATTATTTATATGAGGAAAACTGTTAGTTTTAGTTTTATATATGTAACTACCAAAACCAATAATACTAATAGGAGTCTGATACCTGCAATCAAATATAATAAAGTTGAAAAGTAAATAAATATAAAAAAAATGCAAATTGATAACATTCCATCATGCTTACATTGACTCTTGAGTCTCAAAGCAAAATGTGATATAAAAAGAAACATAATAATCATGCATCAAGTGTACATGCACCAGAACACTGTTAATTACGCAATTTAAGGGCCGATGTTGGAAAAACTCTAAATATGAGGAGTGGACATAAGAACACAACACCACATTATGAGGTGTGCATAATGTTGGGGGTACTGGCTTGGTGGATCCTTACCCCTCTGTACATACCTGGTATAATATGCTTCAGCTAACACACCTTCTTTAGTATCCTTTTTGTAATTAAACAAATTTATCAGTTTCATATTATGCAAAAAAGAAATATCAGATGACACTCGGCCATGTAGATTTCATACTCTAATTGTCAGACCTCAAAGCCAATCCCACATTCTCAACCACTATCAGATCACCATCATATCTGGACACCTCACATTTGCTTAACAGGTATGGTTTCAATGTGAAAGGACGACTTCCTGTTTATTACCTATGATAAAATTCTTTCCAGCTAACACATCTTAAATTAACAAAATACTTTTAATGGGCACATCTAATGCTCTAACAGAGGAATATCTGTACTAAACATAAAAAATGAACTGATGAACATCATACAGATAGCTTCATGAATGAAGGAACAAAATTTGGTTACTCCAGCAAAATACTCACCAATAGAAATTAAATCCAACCTATTTCAGGTTCTGTATATTTAGTTTTGTGTTTGATTACTATATTTAAGGAGAGATTAAAGAAAACTAAAACAAGAAATTACTGAAAATATAACTTGTGTAAGCAAATCATACAAAAATGGGAGACTATAATACTTGTAACTTGGAAGTTAGGAAATGGTTATCAGTATGAAAAGCTGGTTAATGTGACACACACTGATGAAATATAGTAGTTGCAGCAGCAGCAACATCAGTAACAACAATAATAATAACAATTATAATGATGATAATAGTAATAATAATAATAATAATAATAATAAATATATTTTTACATTTTTTCTGGTAATATACAAATAACAAAGAAGACATGAGGCTTCATTTTCCATCATAAAATAATTCACAGAGCATAACTAGAACATTTATCAAAATACTATAGTTCCTTTGGGTGGAGGGGGGCTACCAGCATTCATAACAATTCCCACTTCCTGCAAGTCCCCCATTCAACACTAGCCTACTGCCAATATATATCCCATGCAAGATCTGTTTACATCTTCTATCACAATACAATACTAGCTGTGCCATCAATTGAAGGAATGTGACTCATTGTTTTACTTTGGTAAGAAATGCGTGAACTGAATGTATCTGGATGTTGTATTTGTCAGCTCATGTATTTGCACATTTCACTCACAACTTTATTTTAATATTATCATCTCATCTATACCTATGTCTTCCTAATGGTTCTGTTCCTTCAGGTTTTCCTACCAAAACCGTACATGCACTACTATTCTCCCAAGGGTGTTACATATCCTGCCAATCTCACCCCCCTTGCTTCTATCATTCTAACAATATGTGGCAAGGCGCAAAAATTAAGAAGCTTCCCATTATGCAGTTTTCTTCAGTCTCCTGTTACTTCACCCCTCATAGATCTATATATTCTCCTCAGCACCCAGTTCTAAACACCTCCATTTATGTTCTTCTCTTAATGTCAGAGACCAAGCTTCACACCCCTACAAAACTACAGATAACATTATTATTTTGTATATTATAATCCTTATGTTGTTTAACCAGCAGACAAAAAGACAGAAGATTCTGCAGTGAACAGTGTTCCCCGTACTTAATAACCTCTGAATTTCTTCATGAATGCAATTTTGATTTACAGGCATGAAATGTAATGAATCCAGAATTATTAATACATGCTACAGAGTATGACATGAGGTTCTCACAGTGATGACTATAAAGTTTGCTGTCTTCTTGTATATGACATCGTGTGCAGTGTTACAGAAGTTTATCAACATTTCAGACAAATATGGTACCTCCATTCTCAATGCAGGGGAGTACTTTACTGTTTTACCGTGAGGATGTGTCAGTATGTTCCTATAAAAGACTAAGAAACTTCTATCAGACTACATGACACCAAATACAAGATGGTAATCTTCATATCCCTCAGATTCTGTACAATTCAGACTGTGAGCCAGATGGAGAAGCAGATTTGTTATCAGAAAGATCAAATTAAAATTACTGAATCAAATACATGGAAATTAGAAGAAATCAATGATTTCCAAGCAAATTCTCTGCTCATGTGCATGAGGTGGCATGTGAGAGTTAAAAACAGACAATGGCAGGACTGTGAAGTGCAGCAAAAATTCAGACTCTGAAAACCCAGGCCTATCATAAATATCACCAACTCATGAAAGTGTTTCTCTGCTGAAGAGAAGTTATATTTTGTATGAGTCTGTAACAATGATTCAAGCTCTCTAGATGTGTGTACTGACATTACAGTGAAGCTTTACACCTAAAACTTATGTTCTATGTGTAGAATACTATTTATTATGTTACAGTGTCTGGAAGAATGTCAGGGAATGCTGCAGCCATCTCACATACGTGTATGTTTAAAAGAACCTTTACATAAAAATTGAAATTCACTTTTTATGACCTTAATAACCCCACTGAGACCGCCTCTGTGTTCTAGTGGTCAGCATTCCTGGCTTCAGATCCAGAGGTCTGGGTTTGATTCCTGGAACTACCAGATTTTCTGAGAAGTAGTGGGTCTAGAACGGGGTCCACTCAGCTTCATGAGGATAACTGAGGAGCTATTCAGCCTCGTGAGGATAACTGAGGATCTATTTCAAGGAAATAGTGGCTCCAGTCTAGAAAACTGAAATTAACAGCTGTGGGGATTTGTTGCGCTGACAACTTCACCGACAAGCAGCAGTTGCTCGGTATAGTTCACCAGCAGGCTAAAACCATGGAGTTTTTGAATAACCCCACTGATGATACACATCCACACACAATGAACATGTCATAAACCCCTTACAATTATGGAGAGGAGGCCAATAACATACCAGCAGCTGGCAAATGAATAAGTGAAGAGGCAGTTAAAAGTTCGGTGGCACACCCTGGAAACAGATTCATTTATTTATTTCTTCAGTTCACGTTCCTTGAATTTTAATTATGATCTGTTTTGCAAAATGTTCTTGGCTCCCCTAGTCTTGTGCAGGACAATATTTTGAAGGACATCATATTAAACACGTGTTTCACGTGGAAAATATAATAACCATGTGTTACACGGACTACTCACACTTTTTTTTTTCACATTTCATATAGCGCTGGTGCATTCAGTTTCTGGATGAAATTCGGATACTCCTAAGCTTTAAACTTCACATTGGTTTTCATTCAACACAATAACTACGTAGTACTAGTAACCTAGCACAGTTTTTAAATAAAACTGTATAATTCCAACTGAAGACAATGAAAAACCTATATGAAAGATACACATAAGTACATTCGACTTTTTAACTGCCATACATGTATTCATAATTTTCTTCTCTATAATTTTCCACTATTATGACAGTATTCATGTCACTTTACCATTCTGTGATGCAAGACAATTCACATTTTCTTGGTTATTTTAGTTACTTTCAGTATCCATTGTCTGTAATGATGAAACTTCCATATCCTGCTCTCCTTCCTGTCTTGGAAAATACATATTGAACAAATTATACCTAAATTAAATGCAGCTTGCTATGCGATGAGATCAATTAAGCCTTTTATGTCACAGGAAACATTGAAGATGGTTTACCATGCCTACTTTCATTCTATTATGAACTATGGATTAATATTTTGGGGGAACTCTTCACATAG